GGCCCACTCTGGACCCCAGGTCACTGCAGGGTTAAGGGGAGTTCATACCAGGAGCCTAAGTCAGAGGCATGGAGCCGGACCACATCAGGAGAGGGCTGATGGAATTTGAGAGATGAAGCTGCCATGGGAAAATGGGGTAGGGGAGATGCCAGGGCCTTGGCAGAGGCTGGGTGCCCAGAAGGCACTGGAGATAAAGCCCAGGCCTCAGATTAGCTCTGGGATTAGCCCAGCCTCGGCTGCTCTTGGCTGCTTCTTATCTCCTGCAGGCCTGGGGCCCTCTCCCAGACAGTCCTGGCCCTGCTAATTGCCTGTTAACCCTGTGGGCTCTGTGGCTGTAGGAGGATGAGATGGTGGAGAGGGGAGGGGAAGAATGCAAGCCAGCCAGCCAAGGGGAGCTTTCTGGGGGAAATGGGAGCTGTGGATAGATGCAACTCCAGGGACTGAGAGAAGCCACTGTTCAGGGAGCAAGCCCTGGACAGCTCTCTCCAGCCCCTGAGCCTTGTCTGGGGGTTGATCTGGATGACTGACAGGGAGAAGGAGGGGAAAAGACCCCTGGGAGGGTTCCTGGCTTGGGGGCTGGAGAGGAGTGCCTCAGGCCCTGGGAAAAGTCTAGGAGGAAGACAAGGGACCAGGGATTGGGCAGCTAGACTAAAAGATAAACAGGCTAGAGAAGCAAAGGGCAAGGGAACAGAGAGGCCAGGAGGCTGCCAGGCCAGTGGGAGAGAAAGACAGGCCAGGGGGCGTGGACAGCCAAACAGGGCAAAGGCCAGAGAACAGAGGCCAGATGAATAACTGATCAGATGCTGAGGACTGACAGGTCAGGAGGATAGAGAAGAACCTGAGAGACAGACTGAGGTCAGGCATCAGAGGCTAGGGAGACAGAGACCCAGCCTGGGGCCCAGGCCAAGAAAAGGCGAGGTGGTCCGAGAGGGACAAGTATAGGGCTGGCCAGAAGAAAGGTGGTGTGGGTGTCAGAGGGTCTGCATGCCGCGCAGACAGATTCCTGTCTAGAAGCTTTTCAGTTTGGGGCCAGAGGGACTCTGGGAGGCCAGGTGCTCAGCCCAGGGCCTGGAGGGTGGGCCTGGGCACAAAGGCAGAGAGCAAGGTGGGGCCAAGAAGAAGCAGGGCCAGACTGGAGGAAGAGGTGGGGGTCTGAGATGGGGACCGGCCCAAAGGTTGTGGGCTGGTGGTGGGTGGTCTGGAGATAGACCCTCTTGGCACATCCTGGCCCTGAACCCGCCCCTTTTCGTGGCTGGGCACTAGACTCTCAACTCCAGCACACATACCCTCCTTCTGGGCCAGTGCATGGGGGACAGAGCTGTGGACAGCTGTGGGACCTTGTGGCTGAGCAGCCGTGCCGTCTCCATGGAAGAGGCTGTGGGCTGTGCCGCCACCTGAGTTCTGCCACTTAGGAGCCTGTGGCTCTGCCTGCCACTGCCTGCCTGGCCCAGGGACTGTCTCCAGGGCAACACTCCGTTCTGCCCATCAGTTGGGTCTGACCTGGGTTGTGCAGGTAGCCCTGCTCTGTCAATCTGGCCTGTCCATTCCCTGCAGAGTATCTCCATCAGACCCAGACTACTGCCACCCATGTCTCTTGGTCTCCCCCACTCTGTACAGCTACCTCAAGGGCATGGGTGCCAGAGGCTCCCTCCAAAGCCATTGGAGCCAAAGCCTTCCTGGTTGGGGCTTCCTCACTCGGGGAGTGTGTCTGTGTGTATATATTGAAAGTATCGGGTAGGAAGGCTGCCCCAGCCCCACCCAGGGTTGGGATCCCACCACTCATTCATTTGCTGAACACCCAGCAGCAGGTGTTTTATAAGCACTAATCTGCTTTGGCATTGGGCTCAGTATTTTTGATTCTCTGCTGTCATTTTACTTGCTGTGTGCCTTCAGTCAAGTCACATTCCCTCTCTGAGCTTTCTTACCATTAAACAGGGCGATAATACTAATCTCATGTAGTTTGGAGGCTCAAAGGAGAAAGCAGACCAAAAGCGGCAAGCACAGGACCTGGTATTAAGTGGTGGTATTGGCTAGTGTCCATTTGGTATCCCTTCCCTCCACCTCACACCTTCTCCAAATTGTGCTGGGCTCTGGGGATGCCAAGATGGTAAAAGGGGGCCCCCAGCCTCAGGGGGTCCTTGGTCCTATGGGTGAGGGTGAGCTGTGGAGAGTCTATGATGGTGCCTGCTGGTCAGGGTCGGCTGGGATGGTGCTACAAGTGAGCAATGCACTACTTGGGTCCCCATGCAACCAACACATGGCTTTGTTTAGCCTCTCAACTAGAGTGCAAGCTCAAAACTAGCTGTGTCAGCAAGAGCTGATTCCACCATCTTCTTGGCTCTAAACAGGAAGAGGGTGGGTGTTTTGAGATTTGGGGCAAATACTTACGTATTCCCCCCATCTACCTTTCCCACACCACTGGCGACCTAAGAAGCTTGCACCCAGCTCCCACCCAGGTTGCCACTCTTCCAGTGAGATGTTATAAGAGTGCAGGTCTAGAGGGAGGGCTATGGCCCCTTCATATAGGGCTTTTCTACTCAAAGTGTGGTCTGCAGGTTTTCAGAAATGCAGAATCTCAGTCCTGCTCCCAATATACATTTGCTGAATCAGAATCTGCATTTTAACAAGATCCCCAGGGGCTTTGTGTGCACTTTAAAGTTTGAGATGCATTGACCTTGGAGACCTTGAAACCAGCTCACCTCTCTTAGCCTCAGTTTCCTTATCTGTATGGTGTAAGGTGGTTGTGAGGATTCAGTTGGAAAGAGCACAGCAAGATTTAGCTCAGTGCCTGGGGCAGAGCAGCAATGTCCACTCGTGCCTCACAGATGGAGATACAGAGCTGGGAATTGACCGGCGTTATACAGACAGAGTCGAGGACTGGAACCCAGAAGCTGGTGAGGGTGCAGAAAGAGGAGGGGAGGGACAGGTAGGGAACTGAGAGGCAGCAGTTACAGAGAACAGAGTGGGGAAGATTAGAGACGTGGAGAGGAAGGGAAGGAAGACTTGGCGAAAAGGGGACAGGAGTTGAATCATATTCCAGTCTCATTGCAGCAGACTGGGGCTGGGACTTGGGTTAGGGTCGGCTTGGGGTTGGGTGGGGCAGACAGCTGCCAGCGATAGGTGGTGGGAACAGCTTGAATCTTGCATCTAAATGAGTTCCAACACTCCCACCAATTAGCTGTGTGACCTTGTGCAAATCACACCACCTCTCTGAGCTGTGATTTTCTCATCCATGGTAATCAGAGGAATTAAACCTACCTGGTACTGGAATTGCTAAGTAGATGAAATGGGACAGCAGAAGATGATATTGCTGTGTTTTATAAATTGCATGGTGCTTGTTATGAACCTGTTTTGTTTAGGGATCTGAGGCAGGGTATTTGGGTGATAGAAGAACCGTGTGGGGGGAGAGAGGGCCAGTGGCATGGGTAACCTAGCTGGGAGGGGAGACTTAACCCTGCCCCACTACAAGGGTGCCCCTAGGCACCCAGTGTTTCTTAGAACTCCTTACTCCCACTGTCCTCAAACCAGCCCCTCTCCCTTCTACACCCTACCTCTGATGTGAGGCATTTGGGGTGTCTTTTCCCCAACACTGCCTCCAGCCTTTTCTCCTGGCTTTTACCAGTGTGCAATGTTCCTATGGAGCGGGGAGGAGGAGGAGAGAGGGACTGAGCGCAATGTCCCATCGCCCCCAGGGAAGGTGCTGCCTGTGATGGGTTTGACCCGAGGGCTCCTTTCTTCAGGGTGAGCCTGGCGGGGGGAACTTGTATCCACCTCTCCCTCGATGCCTCCCCACCCCAGGTACTGCGCTTCTCCCTCCACTGTGAAGTCCGCAGTAGAAGCCTTAACTTCCATATCCGGGGCGCCACCACCATCTGGTGTCCATTCTGGAGAACACTCCACAGAGGAAAATGGCAAAGGGCTTCGTTCAGTGCAGCGTTATCAGCTTTTTAAAATGTCCCTTGGGCTCGGTCACTGCGCCAGGTGCTGGAGCCCCAGACAGGCTCACTGCTCCTGTGCAGCATAAACTCTGGGGATTGGATGGGAGATGGACTTTGAACAAGGAGACAGGTGAACAAGATCATCTTGGGTCTTGATAAGTACTTTGAGCAAACCAACAAACACATTGATGGGTGGACAGTGACACTGAACATGTGCGGTATGTGAGTGTGTGTCTGAAGAAGGAACACTTAAGCTGAGACTTAAGAAAGGGACAACTAGCTGTGCGGGGGGGTTGGGAAGCATTCCAGGAAAGGGAATGTGTGAATACAGGCCTGGGGGAGGAAGGCGCTCCCGTAAGTTTGAATTTGTCACAGAGAGGTGAGAGTGGAATGTCAGGACAGGTAGTCAAGGATTACATCACATGGAAACCTTCAGGCTAGGGAAGGAGTTTGGCTTTATTCTCTGGGAAATGTTGGGTTTTAAGCCTGCAGGGGATTGATTGGTTCTAAGCACTTTAGATGAGCTCTCTGGCTGCTGTGTGGAGAACGGCCTGGAGCAAGAGGTGAGGGTGGATGAGGGGACACCAGCTAGGAGCCCACCACCATGGCCAGAGGAGTGGTGAAGGTGAAAGATGGGAAACAACATGGAAGGATATGGATGGATTCTAAATAGATTTCAGATGGAGAATTGCCTGGGACAACTGCTGGATTGGATGTAGGGGTGAGGGAGAGGGTGATTTCAGGGATTCTGACTTGAGAAACTAGGTAGATAGTATGCCCCTTTATTCAAAGGAGAATGGGGGTGGACAGCATTTGGAAAGACATCAAAAGTTCTGCTATTGGTATGCTGAGCTGGAGATACTTTTTTAATCATCTAGGAAAGGATGTCTATAGAAAAGATGGCATTCCAGGGGAAGCTGAGCTGTAGATTGGTTGCTGGAATATGGGACAGGGGTGGCCAAGCAGGTCTGGTGGCCCTTGAAGGGGACAGGGAGCCCTAAGCTTAAAGACTTGTCTTAGCCCCTCCTTCCATCTCCCCTCTTCCTCTCTCCCCACCCCCAGGTCTATACTCGCTATGGGAAGTGTTATACCTTCAATGCAGATCCACAGAACTGGCTGCCCAGCCGGGCTGGGGGCATGGGCAGTGGCCTGGAGATCATGCTGGACATCCAGCAGGAGGAGTACCTGCCCATCTGGAGAGAGACAAGTATGCAGGCGGGAAAGAGGCAGGGGCCAGGCTGGGGGCTCCAGCCTGGGTCCTCTTCCTGAGATGGGGTTCCAAAGGCCCCCATCTCCACTGTGCAGATGAGACATCATTTGAGGCCGGCATCCGAGTGCAGATCCACAGCCAGGAGGAGCCACCCTATATCCACCAGTTGGGCTTTGGTGTGTCCCCAGGCTTCCAGACCTTTGTCTCCTGCCAGGAACAGCGGGTGAGCACCTCCAGCTTACCTGGGTTGGGCACAGGGCTGGGCCTTTGGGCTCAGGGGGATGCTGGCCAGACCTGCCCTCCAGGAACTCACAGCCCACCAGCCCACCATGGACTTTGTTGGGGCTGTGGGGTGCTGGAGGGCTGGGTGGAATACTCTTGGGCATGACCCCACCGTGCCCCGCCTCTGCAGCTGACCTATCTGCCCCAGCCCTGGGGCAACTGCCGGGCCGAGAGTGGGCTCCGGGAGCCTGAGCTTCAGGGCTACTCAGCCTACAGTGTGTCTGCCTGCCGGCTGCGCTGTGAAAAGGAGGCTGTACTCCAGCGCTGCCACTGCCGGATGGTGCACATGCCAGGTGGGCATCCCGCCCCTCACCAGCCCTCAATGCTGCCTGACAGGCTCCAGGACCTCCAGGGGCAGAGCATTACTCATGTGCACAGGCACATGCATGTGTACAACAGCACGTGTGCATGTCTAGACCATGTAAGCGTGTATGTGTATGTGTTTGGGATTTTATAGGTGTTTTCACATATGCATATGGGAGTGCATGCATGCATGCTTGTGTGCATGCTAATACATATTTATGCATACATGTGCTTATGTACATCTGTGTGTGTGTACTTGTGGAGGTTGTGTGCATGTGCTTAAATAAGGGGAACATGTGTGCACATGTGTGTGTGCAAGTGTGCACGTTTGTATGCAAAAATGCATGCACACATTTTCATGCTTCTATGCACAAGCAGGTATACATTCATGTATGTATATGTATTTGCAAACTGGCACGTGTGTGTGCATGTTTCCATGTGCCCACATTGGGATTGTGCTGCAGGAGAGGGAATGGAACGATGGACTCCAGGAATTTTCTCTCCTTTCAGGCAATGAGACCATCTGCCCACCAAATATCTACATCGAATGTGCCGACCACACCCTGGGTCCGTGCTGCCTGCTGCCTTCTTCCCTACCTCTCCATCACCCTCCTCTTCATTTCTTTGTCCACCCTTCTCCTCACTGCCTTGGCCTCCTTCTTCCCTGGGGAGGGGTTTTTCCTGGGGGTTGAGCCTTATGCCACCTTCAGAGGGTTGGGGGGCGGTTCTGAGGACCTTTGCAGGTATGGACACTCCGGTAAGTGGCAGGGAGGGAGTTGCAGAGAACCCAGAACTCAGAGTAAAGGGTTGGGCTTCTCCACTTGGTTCAGCAAGTGAGCCTGCCCTTTCTGGAAAAATGAAATGATTTCTCTCCTGCTCTGAGGAAAGGTGCATTGCTGGCATCAGTGTGGGTAAGGCAAACCCCATCTATCCATAGATCTCACCTGGGCTGCAATTCATTCATTCATCCGTCCATCCATTCATTCATTCATTTATAGCCTAGGCTGGTGCTGAAGGTGAAGGTGGCAACAAGAACCCAACTTCTATGGGGCTTACTCCTCGGCAGGGATGTCAACATAATGCCATGTGTTAGTCCTTGGATAGAGGACCTCAGGGGTGCTACAAGTCCCCGGGGAGCATGCAGCTCCACTGGGAAGGCAGGGAGGATTCCTAAAGGAAGTGACAGATTAGCTGAGACTTGGAGGGTATGAAAGAGTCAGCCAGGTAGAAAGGGGGTCATGTTCTAGGTGGTGGGAACAACGTGTGCCGAAGACCTGTGCCCAGAGACAGCATGTGCATCTGGGGCACTGTAAGGTCAGTGTGACTGGAGGCAGAGAATGGAGGAGGGGGCAGAAAGAGTGGAGGAGGCTTTGGAAAGCCAACAATGACTTAAGGCAAGGAAAGAATGGCACCTGATTTTAGGCAGGTGATTGGGCCATGGGGAGGGAGAGGAAATGGGTTTGAGATCCTGGGACAGCAGATGCCATCAAGGCCCTCTGGGTCGCACACAACAACTTCCCCAGCCAAAGAGGTGATTGAAGAGTGTAAGATGAGGGAGCAGGTGTGTGAGCAGGGGTAAGGGAGCCATGGAAAATGGTGAAATGCCACAGAATGAGCAACACTAGGGAGCCTTCATCCCCCCAGGCCTGAAGGGGTAAAAGAAGGGTGTGCCTCTGGGAGCTGTTCAGTGCACATTGAATGAACACTGTGCTGAGGGACAGGGACAAGCTGACCTGCACTGAGGCTTGGGTCTGGTCCCCTGCAGCCAGTCTCAAAATGCTGAGCATCCTGTGGAGCACAGTGACATCCTTGTGGCTGAGACAGACAGGAGCCGTGGCCTCAAGAGAAGGAATGCAGCCTCTGCCACCCACGGCCTGGCAGTGAGGAAGCTGGGGGAGGAGATACCCTGAAATCTCTCTCCTCCTTGCCCTCTGACCCTACTGAGGCCTCCCACTGGCCAAACCCAACTCAAAGCCAGAGGACACGGAGTCCAGGTGATACATTTAGCAGATCAGTCTCCTAGACACAGAGCAAGGTAGAGGAGAGTGGAAAGGGGATCCGAAGGGGCAAACAGAGAAATCCAGCATACCAAGCACAGTATTTGTTCCTCTGTCCCTCCATCTACCCATCCATCTACTCATCCATCTGCCTATGTGAATATACCTAAAATCCCCTTCACCCCAACATCCTCTCCAAGCTCCTGTGTCTGAGGCCTTACGTGGTTGATGAGCTCTGGTGAATGGGCTGTGCCCTCCCTCTGAGCCAGGGGGACCTCTCTGCCAGTGGGTGGGAGGCAGAGGAATAAGCTGGCAGGAAGGTGCTGGGGGGCTCTCCCCTCACTCATTATCTGAAGCTGGTCCAGGAAGGGATCCCCAACTAGTCTCCTACAGGCAGCGCCAGGGTGGCCAGTAGAGACCGCAGTGTGGGCGTGCCTGCCTCAGGACAGCCCCTGGCCGTCTCCCTGCAGCCAGCTGGCCTCTGGGCCACCTGCCCCCACCCCCACTGCAGCTGGTGCCTCTGTGTTGCAGACTCCCTGGGTGGGGGTTCCGAGGGCCCATGTTTCTGCCCTACCCCCTGCAACCTGACCCGCTACGGGAAAGAGATCTCCATGGTCAGGATCCCCAACAGGGGCTCAGCCCGGTACCTGGCAAGGAAGTACAACCGCAATGAGACCTACATACGGTATGCGGGGGTGTGGGAGGAGGGCACCTTCAACAGGCTTGGTGCGCAGTGGAGGCTGGGAGTGGGCTGCATGTGTTAATAATGTCTTCTGCCAGGAATGCTTTTCATGATCCTTTTCTTCTAACTAACCGTACCCATCCTCCAAGTCATACCCTGTGTCTCCACCTCCAGGAAAGCCCTTCTCGGTCCAAATCCCCTTCATCCGAGCTCTCCCTGTACCCTGTACATATCTCTGTCATTGCCCTCACCCATCGTGTGGAGCCCTCTGGTCTATTTCCTCCCAGCAACCTGGGAGCTGTTCAGTGCATGTTGAGTGAATGCTGTGCTGAGGGAGGACAAGATGGCTTGCAGGAGATGCCACACCAAGCCTTGCATCTGATCCCCTGCAGCCAGTCTCAAATTGCTGAGCATCCTAAGGGGACAGGAATAATTACAATACAAAGCTCATGCCCCAATTTGTGGATGAGGCCATGTCTAATGGTGTGGCACTGATTCTCGGGCCCCAGCTGAGATCAATGTGGGTGGGGCAGGGGAAGCCGGGGAGGTGGGCAGACCTCTGAGGAGCCTGGGTTTGGGTCTGTGAGAAGACAGGGGAGGCATCCCAGCTACGAAATGTGGGATGATGCAGAGACCAGGCTGAGGCCCTGTGGAGAAAAGAGAAAGCAGTTTGACAGGAAGGCACACTGCAACAGGTCATGGGCAGTCTTGAAAATCCGGAAAAGGAATTTTGGAGAGGACTTGAGTGATAGGGCCACCGGAAGTTCTACAGAGGTATAGGGGTGAAGCAAAGTGAGCACTATTTGCTGCTTTTAAGAAGAGGCCAGGAAGGACTCCATCAGGCCCAGGAATTGTATTTTGTGCTTCTGGGCCCTTTGCTAACCCTCAAAATATGAAGCTGACATGCACCTGGGACTTTCTCCCCTCACAGCCTTTGGGAGTCTGAGGGTAGTCCCTGGCTTCTCAGCGCAGGGGCCTCAGATCAGGATCTGCTGGACCTGGGATGTCTCTTGCCAGCTGCCTTCTCAGGAAGATGGCTCTACAGGGACACCCTGCTTCCTGTCTCTGCAGGGAGAACTTCCTGGTCCTAGACATCTTTTTTGAAGCCCTGACCTCTGAGGCCATGGAGCAGCGAGCAGCCTATGGCCTATCAGCCCTGCTGGGTGAGACCTGGCCCTGGCCCAGATCTCAGCGGGGTGGACCAGCCCAGCCTGCTCCTTCTGACCCTACTCTTGTGCCCCCCAGGAGACCTTGGGGGACAGATGGGCCTGTTCATTGGGGCCAGCATCCTCACACTGCTGGAGATCCTTGACTACATCTATGAGGCAAGAGATGGGAGGTCTGGTGGGGGCCACCCAGAAAGGGCATACAGCGTGGGGGCTGTGGGAAAGCAGAGAGAAGGGCAGGCTTCTTGGTGGAGCTGGCCGGGCTAGGAAATCAAGCTTGGGGTTCTTTGCCAGGTTCCCTGACTGGCTGCAAGGCCTGAAGGTGGTAAGGGGTCTAGAGAAGGGGATGGAATAGGAGGGATGGGGAACCCTAGAGGGGGTTTGCGGGGGCAGCAAGTCCTGTAAGGTGCGCCTCGTGGGGCCCACCTTTCTCTACCAGTTTCCCTAGCCCATTGCTATTCTGTCACCCTGAACCCCAAGGTGTCCTGGGATCGACTGAAGAGGGTATGGCGGCGTCCCAGGACTCCCCTGAGGACCTCCACAGGGGGCATCTCCACTTTGGGGCTGCAGGAGCTGAAGGAGCAGGTGAGGACAGTGCCCCTCCCAGGTCTGAGTGCCTCCCTAACTGCTGAACTAGCCTGGGAGGGATTCTTGGGGTCCCCTGGTGCCTCTGCCCAAGGGGACAAGGAAAGGCTGGCTGTGGAAGGCTTGGGGACACAGCTTGTCCTCTCTCTGTCCCACTCTTCACCTTGCAGAGTCCCTGCCCAAGCCGGGGCCATGCTGAGGGTGGGGGAGCCAGCAGTCTGCTCCCCAACCACCACCACCCACGTGGACCCCCAGGAGGCCTCTTTGAAGACTTTGCCTGCTAGGACAGTGCTGTGTCTGAAAGGACCCAGGAGTCTGGGACCCCTCCCCATATCCTCAATATAGCCTCCTCCTGCTCCTGGGACAGGCCTGGGGGCAGCCCAGGACTGAGCGGGGGAGGGCGGTGCTCACAAGGAAGGTGGGGACTCGGTTCCTGCTCTTGCTGGCCCAGCGCCAGCTGCTTTGCACAAGGGTCCTTCTTGTCCACACCTCCCCACCCACTGGGCTGGTGCCCAGGGAGGCTGGAGGGGAGGAGAAGAAAGGAGAGACGTGAGAAAGGGGCCCACACCAGCAGGGGTGGAACCCTCTGTATATTTGTATATATTTAGGGGGGACAGGGTGGGGGTGGGGGTACAGATGTAGAAGGCAGGTAGGGCTACCAGGGTGGGTAATGCCAGCCAGGGTTCCAGCCCTAGAGTGCCACAGGAGAGGGCGAGCCCCTAGGGCTCAGGAGTGCTGGGCTGGTTCCTCTCCAGGCCCAGCTCCCCTTTGGCAGGGGGAGTGGGTGACCCAGCAGGCCTGGCCCCCACCTCCAGTCCCCTCCACAAAGAGCAGGCAGACCTTTCAGACCTTGGCTGAGCTTCGGGGTGGGGAAGGGAGCCTTCTCAGACCTCTCTGCCTCTAGCCTGGTTTTATAAAGTGCTGACGAAATTGGGAATAAAGAGGCATAAAGAATTCTCTGTGCATATGTGACCAAGCTGGGAGTTGGGGCAGGGCTGGGCATATGCACAACTTGGTCCCTGGGAAAACGAAACCCAGGCCCCAGCCAGGACAAGGGAACCTCATCCTGCCTGCCCTCCCTGCCCCCAGGCCTACCTTTCAAAAACTCAGAATCGCTAGTCCACACTCAGCCAGTTTATTAAAGGAAGGGAGCTTCATTGGGGTCCGGGAGGGAGAAGGTGGGAGGTGCCCTATCCCCCTTCTTGGCTCCCCACTTCAACTCATCTACAACCCAGCCCCCAGGATACCCTAGGAGACAGGCTGGCGTCAGGCAGAATGCACTGCATAAATACTTGGAGGCCACAGCCTGAATTAGCAGCGTCAAGGGGGCAGGGAGACCAGGTTTGGCGCAGGAAGGGATGGCTCTGAGGACACTTCCCCCAGGGACTGTCCTGGGCCTGAGGACCCACAAAGCCAGAGAGCGGGCCAGTGGGCTATCTGAGGCTGCAGCCAGCCCTGTCCAGTGAGGCTGGCAGGTGGCTCCGGGTTGCTGGGGAGGAGTGGGGTGCTGCCATGCCAGGGTTCTGGGGTGCAGGGCAAGGTCAGGTGCTATTGCCCTGCTCCTGCTCAAAGAGCAGCATGGCCAGCTGGGTGCGGGAGCCCAGGCCCTCCAGCTCACTCTGGCGACAGCGGTGGTACAGGTCCTCACTGAGCCGCGCACTGCACGTCTGGGTCCGGTAGCGCTGCATCAGCGCTGGCTCCACCGCCCGCAGCACATGCAGGCCGGAGAAGCGCAGGAACAGCTCATACACATCCATACTCTCCAGCATCTCCTCCTCCTGCTCCGAGGCTGCTGCCAGCCGCCCACGAGCTGCCACGTAGTCAGAGTTGTAGAAGCAGGCTTCACTGGCTGCCTGGCGATCAAAGCGGCCTGTGTCTCGCCCCAGCTCTGGGGGCCCAGGCCCCTGTGGTGGGGCCACAGCTGGATGGAAGGCCTGGAAGTGCATGGGAAAGAAGGTCTGCCAGCCAGAGATGGCATGCATACGGCAGCGGTTCAGGAAGTCAGGTGTGAGCACCGTGTCTGGCCCGGCCAGCAAGAACAGCGTGTCTAGTGGGTGCTTCTTGGAGAGCAGATCCATGAGGCGCAGTGGTGAGGGTGCAGCTGTCTGCACACTGAGCCAGGGCACCCGGGCACCAGGGAAACGCTGCTCCAGCTCTGCTACGTGGGCCTTAACAGGTGCAAAGACATCTGCATGGGCTGCCCGCTGGGCCTGTCGTGGCTCATACAGTAACAAAAGGGTCAGGGCTGCTGCAGCATCACCAGGCTCTAGTGCTGCAGTTGCAAAGGCCTCTAGGAAGCCAGGGGCCAGGTCCCGTTCAGCTGCAGCCAGAGGCAGTAAAACAGTGAGACGGGAGGCCTCAGTGACATAGGGCACAGGCAAGATCTCCACACGGCTCAGTGGCCGTAGCAGCTGCACCCGGCGAGTCAGGGGCCAGCGGCCACCCTGGGGGGTCAGTGCCTCCAGCTGCAAGTCCAGGGTGTACTCCATCCCCCGGGCAGGATCAAAGCGTCTGTAGCCATTAACCAGCTGCTGCTTTTGGAGCCGGAGGGCCGGATGGTAGCGCCGGTTGAGCTCCTCCAGGGCTGCCCCGAGAACGTCGGCCACATCAGCTTGGTCGGCCCCATGCAGCGGGCAGCGGGGTGAGCCATCAGCGCAAGAGAAAGCATGCTGCTCTGTGAAATAGTCCCAGCGCAACACCTCAAAGCGGGAGGCTGGGCGGGATGGTGCTGGAATGCCCACAGGCCAGGCGGCTGCCTGCTCCCCATCAGCTGCCAGGTGGCTGGTATTCTGGATCTCCCACTGGGTTGGAGAAACAGACTGTGAGCAAGGCATAAACCAAAGGGGCCAACGTACAGCTGTGGGGCTGAGCAGGCAGTAGGTGCTACTCAGGATGGGTCCCCAGTACCCTGCCAAGCTCTGCCCTCCCAATCCTCCACTTACCTTTTCCCTAGACTGAGGCAGGCTCAGAATTAAAAGGGGAGTTCCTGGAGGGACTTCCCAGAAAAGGCAGAAACAAACAGAGACCTGGGAAGCAGATCTCTTGTATTTCCCTGGGATCTCTGAGAATTCTCAGGACCTACCCCTTCTCTCCCTCAGCCCAGACCATACCTGCAGTTCCTGTATCTCCTGGTATGTGTGTTCCAGCTCAGCTCGGGCAAAAGCCTTGTGCAGCTGGTACATGTGCACTGGGTCATGTACAGGGTGGGCTGTCAGGGCGCTGCGGAAACGAGGGTCCCCCTCCTGCACAGGCCCCCCAGGGCTCAGCTCCAGATAGCTGTAGTGTACTCCCTGGGGAGAGGGAGGGAAGGGGTCCATAATGGGAAGAATGATGGGACAGTCTCCCCCTCACTTGATAATGTGTACCTTATCTCCCCATCCTATGACCTGTTTTGGACTTGGAATCAGAATTCTTTGGGTCTAAGTCTACCTCAACCAGTTGTGAGCTTGCGTGACTTTGGGTAAGCCTCTGCTAGCTCATCTGTGAAATGGACATGCACCCTATCTCAGAGCTGTCCAGCGGCCCAAATAAAATAACAGCCAATGCTGAACACCTACTATGTGCAAGTATCCATTATTTTTTCTATTCTTTGTAACAACCCTGAACAATAATTACTTCCATTGGTACGGGGTTGAGGATAGTGAAGCTCAGGAGACTCAGTAACTTAACCAAGGTCACAGGGATAGAAAATGACAGAACTTACAGGCATGAAAACCCAGGCCTGTAATTCCAACCACCCCTTTGCCCCTCAAGGAGAAGTGTGTAAATTCAGTTAGGAGGCACCAGTGGGGGAGCTTAAATTCCCACCTCATGGTCACCAGTGCAGCCCACCCCGGTGGCATCGAGGATGCAGCGTCCCAGCCACTCGTCTGGGTGTGCACTAACAATGTCGTTGCGGCAGCCTTCCAGATGGGGACGCAGCTGCTGTAGCAGTGTGCGGGACAGCAGTACTCCAAAGCCTCCGTGGCAGTAGCGGCCTGGGGTGGGCTCTCCACCGATGAAGTCCTGGGGCCGGCCCAGATAGAGGTGGGCAGAGGCTGCCAGGCTAAGGTGGCCAGTGAGACGGGCCAGTCCATGGGCCTCGGTGTAGGTGGCATCAGGCACTAGGAAGAACCAGTCAAAGTCATCTCCGTGCTTCTCCAGCAGGTGGCGTAGTGCCAGGTGCAAGTGCCCGATGGGTCGCTCCTCACCCAGCGTCACCACAGCCATGCCAGGTGGTGCCCTGCGGCCCCGTGAGCCCGTGAGGAACACCACGCGCTCTAGCCGGTGCCCCAGAGTGCGGTTCACAGCTACCCCTAGCGTGGGCAACGTGGCCTGTGAGGTCAGCACTGCCACCAGTAGCCTCTGCCTGATGCCCAGCTCTGTGCTGATGTAGCGGGTCCTGGGAGAGAAGAGGGCACAAAGTTATCAAAAGGACAGCAGGTCAGACAGGAGGCAACATACATACATAGGTTCTGGCAGGTCACATCCTCTCTGGCCTGTTTTCTCACCTATGAATAGGGTAAGAATAACACCTACCTTCCAGGAGTCATGAGGATTTAAAGTGAAATACTGGCCTTACCTATATAGTGCTTTGGAAAGATGGCAATACCCCTGCAGATATGAAATATATGGTGGGTATGATTCCATTTCACTACTTAGCAGTTGTATCTTTGAGCAAGTAATTTAACCTACCTTAGCCTCAGTAGCCTCATCTATGAAATGGGGTTTTTATCTACTTAAAATACCTGGCCAAATGCTCAGCACATAGGCGCTTCATACACAATACTTACTTCTTTATAAATATGCCATTATACCACAAATGCACCACATAAGTTATGTAAAGGAATATATGGCATAGAGATGTACTGAGTGCATTTGGGGGAGGGGCAAACGGGGGCTCAGGAGTTTCAGTAACTTACTTCCCAAAATGCAGAAAACAATTTGCAGAACTGGAATTTTGATTCAGTGTTACTTAGGAGACATTATTTCAGCTCAATGACAGGCATTAATGCGATGGGTACATCACCCTCCCCCACCCCAACACACACACACACACAAATCTCACCCCGAGGTGCCCCACATGGAACAAGGGATACAGGTAAATCCTAGTTCTCTTTTCTCTTTCCCTTTTTCTATGCACCCACCCTATATACCAGTACTTTTTCTAAACCCAACGGCCGACCTAAGGAGCTAAGAGGATCTTTGGGGGACCATGGGGTCGAGCCTGTTTAGGACAGAAGAGGGTAAGCTCAGCCCTGGACCGGACTGAGCCCAGAAGAGCCTCAGATGGGCTCCACAGCTCCCGGGGAAGCAGAGCCATAGGAAATTATCGGGGCCAAAGACTTCCTGGCCGGCCAGCCCCTTCCTTCCGGAGCCTGACCCGGCCCCCGGCGGCCTCCGTGGCGCGCCCGTCCCGGCTAGTGCCCAGGGGGTGGGGATGATCCCTACCTGACAGCCTTTTTGGCGGCCTGGCCAGGCGGTGCAGGGTGGTAGGGCAAGACACGCGGCTCCCAGTTCTCCCCAGCGCCTGCTCCGGCCCCAGGCCTTTCGCGCTCCGCTCCTGGCTGCACCGAATTGGGCCGGCGTGCCGCGTTGGTGTTGCCGCGCGGCGGCAGCTCAGGATCTCCAGGTTGAGGCGGCCCTGGGCCGCACGGCTCCTCCACCCAGGTGACGCTGAGCAGGCTCAGAGTGAAGCCTAAGGAGATGCCCACGGCCACGGGCCCTGCGGGCCGCAGCACCGACAGCAGCAGTGATGCCCGCATGGCGCCCGGACCGTGGGCCCCAGGCTGGGGAGCAGCCCCAGAACCGCCAGAGGCTCCGAGGGGGCGGGACCGGGGAGGGGGCGGATCCGTAGGGCCCGGCCAAAGAGGCGGGCCCACTCCCTCCCCGCTGAGCAGAGACCGCGGTCCGAGGTGAACACCCGGCGCCGCTCACTGAAGCTCCAGTATATCGCGCTGGGTTCCTGCGCTAAGCTCGAGAGCCTCCGCCTCCGCCGCCGCTGTCCGACGTGTCACTGCGAGGACCCCGCCCCCGGGGTGGGGTCTTGGGCTCCAGCTACCGGAGAGGGAGAAGGGGGAGGTTAAAGAGGAGGGACCCCCGGAAGTGCCCCCTCCTCAGTGCAAGAGAGGGAATGGCTGGGGGCGGAGTCCCAGACGTGGTTGGTGCATCCCAGGTGACGTAAAGCAGCCAGCTCCTCCCAGAATGGTGCGCCCTGAGTGACGTCAGGAGCAGAGGCCGGAGCTGTCCATCAGCACCAAAGGCCGCGGGCGGGCTCAGGGCATGGGGCCGCAGCTCCGGGGCAGCCCAAGCCCCAGCTCCTGCTCCTTTCCCTTCCCCAGGCCCAGCCCGAGTACCCGGACGCCGCGGGACTGGAGTGCCAGCCGGTGCTGGAGGCGGAGTAGCGACCCCGCGGCGCAGCGACCTGTTTCTCCGGCCCCGCAGCCCTCTCCCCGAACGGCGGACTTTTACTGGACCCCAGTCAACTGGGCCTCTGGCTCCCCGCAACCCCGGATCCTCTGGCCCCTGCACAGCCTCTTTCGCTCAGAAGCCCAGCTCGCCTCCAGCCCAGGTAGATCTTAGACAATCCCAGATTTAGCCGCCCACAGAGGAGTCTCCTGGCTGCCTCCTCACAGGCAGCACACTGCCCTCACCACCCGCCTCCCGCCCCCAACCCAGCCTCCCTTTTAACTTCTTCATCCCAGCCCCATCTAGCCAGGCACTTTTGTTTCCCTTTGTCTTTTGCTCCCTACTTCAGGGATGCTTCCAGAGCTGCATGATGTGTGCACCATTCCTTTGTCCACTGTGTCCTTGCCTAGTTTTCCCACTCCCAATTCTCACGGGCATCCTAGTGAAACCCAGGACTCCTTCTTGATCCCAACTTCCTTTTTGTCAGGCTGACCTAGGAGGGTGACTCCCTTCCATTCCCAGCACTATGCCGGGCACTATGGCACCACTGCGGTTCCAGCTGCTGCCCCCTGAGCCAGATGATGCCTTCTGGGGTGCACCCTGTGAACAGCCCCTGGAGCGCAGGTACCAGGCACTGCCAGCCCTCATCTGCATCATGTGCTGTCTGTTTGGAGTCGTCTACTGCTTCTTTGGTGAGACCCCCATCTCATACTTCACCTGAGCTTCCCATTGTTACCCGTTATTTTTTTGAGGTACCCCAAATCTTCTCTAGAATTGTCACCACCACCATGAATAACTATCTTTCTCTCTTTCATCCTGCACTGTGTTCATAGATCATCTGGATTTTAAATCCTGGAGAACACAGGTTTTTGAATTAGGCATGCTCAAATCTGAACCTGGCTCCACATGTTACTAATTGTGATGCCTTGGGCATATTAACCTGTCTGAGCCTTAGTTTTCTCATCTGAACAGTGGGAACAACGATATTTGTCTTTCATAGCATTGTTGTGAGAACTAGTAGGCATTCAAAAATTAATAGCTATTGTAGTGAAGATGTGTTTGGATCACTGTGCTAGGTAGGCACTGAAAACATTTAGCAGGTAATTAAAAATGATCTCTTACCACAGGGCATAGATATTTCTACACACATGTAGATAGCCTACAAGGCAGGCTTTGGTAACCGAGTTCCTGTGGACAGTTGTATAGGATGGGCACTGCACAAGGGAGTCCAGCTGAATAGGCAAGTGGGGACTGAAATCCCAACCATGCACCACTTGCCAAACTCTAGACCTTGACACACGGCAGCTCTACCTAGAGGAAGACACAACTTTTTCTGATTTACATAAAAGTGCCAGATGGGCTAGTAGAGAGTAAGAGCCCAGGGACTACAGCGTGAGTTACAGAACTTCAGAGAGGCAAGTGAGCTCTATGAGCTGGGGGTCCAAGGAAGGCCTCCAGGAAGAGTATAGGTGATGAGAACAGGTGTAGAGGCTTGGAGATCTAGGTTCCAGGCTGTGCAGAGGTGGGGTGGAGACTCATGCTCTGCAGGCTCTACAACTCCCGCTAGAATGCTGGGTAGTAGAAAGGAATGGGAAGTAGATGGCCCCTCCCCTTCTATCCCCAAACTCTGGTCTGAACAACTGTGGAGTGGGCAGGAGGGCCCTTCTAAGGGTTCAGGACACATTCTGAATCTCCAAGGGGTCTGTGTGACTTAATCCCCTGCAATACCCATGCCCATTCCCTCTGCAATTATCAATGAAGCCTGGCATTCCTTTTCTGGGGCTTCCCTGCCATCCTACCCCTCTAGGATACCCCCACTCCCAGGGTCGTGGATTTGGAGCCCTTATGCATGCCCTACTCCTCTTTGTGACCCCAGAACCTCCTGGACTCCTCCTCAATGTGCTTCCCCTCATTCCTAGAACTGAATCTCTTCATTCTGACCTTTCTCTTTTGGCATTTTCACACTGTGACCCCCGTCTCTGACTTCTATCTTCCCAGCTGTTCAGGATCTACAAGTCCCTTATCCTTCCAAGGCCCTTAATGGCCCTATAACCTCCATTTTTCTGAAACTCCATGACCACTATTTCCCCTTATAATCCTCCTTGACTCTCCATGAACACTTGTAAGCCCTAGTGACTCTCAACCACCCCCAGTTATCTTCTTACTTTCCATCCCTCTGACTCCCTCTATTATTCCTAATTACCTGATACCTATGACCCCATTGTCGGATCACCCCTCCCCTCACCATGATCTCAATGATCCCATTTCTCTGGCCTTAATAGTGCCCTCTCTCAGAAAAACTAATATTCTCAATGATTCCACATCTGTCAATTCCCCTAACTTGCAAAGACTTCATCTCCTGAAACCCCTCCCCAATAACCCCGCTTCTCTGTTTTCTTTGTAACCTTTTAATAATATCCAATCTCTGAAGCCCTGTGACCCTCAAAGAATGACCTCATCTTTCTGAACCTATGTGACCCTCATCTTTCAGGTTCTTTCTGAGTTCCAAATACCTCATCTTTCTGAACAATCCCTTCCCCAAAGCCCCCAATGACTGTATTCTTAATCCCTTTGTTACCCCCAGTGACCTATCTCCCTGACCCCTATGATCCCAAAGACCCCAATGACCCCTATCGCTAATTCACTCTTGATTCTAATGCTTTATCTCTGACTCCTCTGACCCCCAAAAACCCAGTGCTCATCTCAGTGGCTGTTTTCCCAGTGACTCCCAATGACCTGTCTCTCTGACCTCCATCATGATGCCAATGGTCCCATCACTGATGCTCTCAGGACCCTGGTGACTCCCAATTCTCTGATCTTAGTGTCCTGCCTCTGGTTTCCCTGTGATTTCAAATCCCTGATCCCTCTGACCTCCTGCCTCCAGCCAGGTGACTTCATTTTGGCCCCTCACTAGCCCCTGTTCCCCTCCAGGTTACCGATGCTTCAAGGCAGTGCTCTTCCTCACTGGGTTGCTGTTTGGCTCAGTGGTCATCTTCCTGTTGTGCTACCGAGAGCGGGTGCTGGAGACACAGCTGAGTGCCGGGGCAAGTGCAGGCATCGCACTGGGCATTGGGTTGCTCTGCGGGCTGGTGGCCATGCTAGTACGCAGCGTGGGCCTTTTCCTAGTGGGGCTGCTGCTCGGTCTGCTGCTCGCTGCTGCTGCCCTGCTGGGCTCTGCACCCTACTACCAGCCGGGCTCTGTCTGGGGCCCACTAGGGCTGCTGCTGGGTGGCGGCCTACTCTGCGCCCTGCTCACGCTGCGCTGGCCCCGACCGCTCACCACCCTGGCCACTGCTGTGACTGGTGCTGCTCTCATCGCCACCGCCACAGACTATTTTGCAGAGCTGCTGCTGCTGGGACGCTATGTAGTGGAACGACTACGGGCCGCCCCTGTGCCCCCGCTCTGCTGGCGGAGCTGGGCCCTGCTGGCACTTTGGCCCCTGCTCAGCCTGATGGGCATTCTGGTGCAGTGGAGGGTGACGGCTGAGAGGGACTCCCACACGGAAGGTGAGAGGGCACAGGCCAGGGTGGGTGTGAGAGAAATGGGTGATCAGGGATCGTGGTGGGGGGTGCTGAGAGACTGGAACATGGTAGGGGGAGAAGCTGTACACAACAGTAGTGGAAGGCCTCAATATGGTTAGAGAGCTGATGAGCTCGGGATTTGGGAAGACAGGACCCAGTGCCACCATTCATTCTACAACAACATACAAAGCAGCAGCTCCGTGCCAAGCCAATTCCAGGCACTGGGGATCCAGCAGAGACAAAAGAGAAAATGTCCCTGTTCTTATGGGGTTCTATTCAGATATGGAGAGATAGACAATACACACTCAAACAAAGAAGATAATTCCAGCTGTATGGAGTAATACGAAAGATATATGCAGGGTGATATACATGAGTAAGAGTGACCTCTAGAGGCTATTAGAGATAGGGTAGTCAAGGAGGGCCATTTGGAGGAGGTGACATTTAAGTAGAGTCCAGAAGGGTAAGAAGCTAGCCATGCAAAGAGCAAGAGAAAAGGGGACAGCAATGTCAGGGCCTCAGAAGGAATCAGCTGGGCTTGATGAGAGAGTGGGGCTGTAGTGGATGGCTGAGGGTGCCAATTGGGTGAGCCCTGGAGATGTCATTGGAATGTTAAAGTAGAAAGCATCTAATCTAATCTATTAGCATTTGGGATGCTCATTTTGGGTGCTGAAGAAGGACACACAAAAGGGGAAATCAGTGAGGTGGCAGATGTAGTCTAGTTGAGATGATGGCTGGTCTAGGATTGGGAGAGGGACAATAATTGGGAGAGGATACCTAGAAGTCTAGCAATCTTGCAGGAAGACCTTCAGAAGAAAAGAACAACTGAAGGAAGTCCCATCTGGGAGGTGGAAAAGGAAAGGGGAGGGGAAAACATACAGGGGAATCTGGAAGCATCAGCCCCTAGGTAGGAAAGGTCAGGGAAAGTCTAGGGAGGTGAGGTATGTGGTCCTCTGAGACCCTTCTCTGCCCATCCCTTCACAGTGGTAATCAGCCGGCAGCGACGACGTGTGCAGCTGATGCGTATTCGGCAGCAGGAAGAGCGCAAGGAGAAGCGGCGGAGGAAGAGACACCCTCGGGTTCCCCCCAGAGGCCCCAGAGCTCCTCCAAGGCCTGGGCCCCCTGACCCTGCTTATCGGCGCAGGCCAGTGCCCATCAAACGCTTCAATGGAGACGTCCTCTCCCCAGTGAGCAAACCAAGCCCTCTGGCCTGAACAGGGGAAAAGGGAGAGTTGTAGACTGTCCTACTAGGGCTGGGCCTTCCCCGGAGGCTGATCACTGCCTAGAAAGCCTAGTGTTTGTCTGCCCAGCATAACGCCTGCACCAGGAGCTTGATGGGTCCAGCTCTAGGTGTGTGGGAAAGGTGTCCTGAGTATAGAGTTTTAATGAGTGATGGTATGGGGTTGGGTCTCAGGGCTATGGACTATAGGTGTGGTGAGATCCTGGGCCTAAGGCACTCAGGTGTGTGTCTCAGGTTTGGGAGGGCCAGTGCAGGGAGAAGATGTCTACCTGAAGTGGGTTTCAGGCAGGGGTTCAGTGGCACTCACACCTGTGTTTACTTCCCCACAGAGCTACATCCAGAGCTTCCGGGACCGGCAGACAGGGAGCTCACTGAGCTCCTTCATGGCTTCGCCCACAGATGTGGACTATGAGTATGGGTCGCAGGGCCCACTGACAGCCTGCTCGGGGCCCCCTGTGCGGGTATAGCAGTATAGCTGTTTCTGCCCACCTAGACTCTGTGGTCACCAGCTCTGCCAGCTTGGGGAGGTCTGCTGGGCCACCACCCAGCCAATCTGGCCCTTGGCTGTCCCTTTCCCCACCTTCAAGCAAGCTGGCCTGACTGCTGGAAGGGAGACCTGTCTCAGGCTAAGCTAGGCCTGGGGGGAAAGCCCGCTCTCAACTTCCCAAGGGGCTCCTGAAGAACGCAGGGTGTGAGCCCCACTGGGGTATGCTCAGGGTTGTGAGTGTGTTGCCTCTGTGTGCGTGTGTGTGTGTGTGTGTGTGTGTGTGTGTGTGTGTGTGTGTGTAGGGGTGGGTTTAGAGGGGACACTGGGACCTTTGCCTTAGATTTCTGATTGGTGGAGCTTTTCCAAGGCTGGCCCTGCCTCCTCTCCCACTGCTGGGCTCCCATGGACCACTCTCCTGCATGTCTAAGTGGAGGAGGTCTGCTTTCCTCCCCCGACACGCCACCTCTCAACCAGACTCGTCTAAGGCTTCTTGTCCTTGTCCATGGGGCTAACTTCAGCACCTCACCCTGATCCCCTGTCTCTGCAAAGCCACCAGCCTGAGGGCAGTGGTAGGGGATTGAGGTGAGGGGTGCTACTCTGGGCTGGGCTGGGGAGGGGAACTGGGGAAGGGGCCTTAAATGCACGGTGCATGTCTGGTGTCTGTCTTGCCACCCTGGACACCTCATGCTTCTGTCTCCCCATGCCCCACCCTGTTTTACATCTTTTATAAATGTGCCAAACTGTGTGGCTTCTGCCAAGAGTTATGGTCTTCGGTGGCTGGCACCTCCATAGGCCAAGTTGGAAGCACTGCAGCCCTTTGGTTCCTTGTGTCACTTATTATACAGGGGCTCCAGGGAAGTTCTGCCATCCTACACTACACAGAGAGCCAGGGAAAAGGGCTGTACCACTTTTATTGTCTCCCAACACCTCTGGTTTCCCTGCCGCCCCACCCCTGCCTGGGGTAAGGGCATGCGCCTTCCAAGTTGTCCGAGAGCACCTGCCTGGCCTGGTTCGGTCCTCCTAGCTACCTGCAGAGGAATGACTCTGCGTAGGGCCGGGGAGATAGTGGGTACCACTGTCCTCTCCCCTGGCAGATCCTGGGCACTCAAACAGGAAGAGCTGGGCCCTCACCCTCTGCCCCACATTTTCTGGACCTCTGTTAGCACTGTCTGTGGGGCAGGAAAGTGGGGGTCAGAGGTAGGGCAAGGCACAGCACCTGGAGGGAATGCAGGAATGTGGGTGGAGGGTGGGGCATCTCCTAGGTGGAAGAGGAAAGAAATGGGACTAGCTCAGCAGCCCTCTGGTGAGGCTTATGTTAAACTCACTGAGATGGGCAGAAGCCAGCTAAGGAGAGGGCAGGAGGGCTGAGGGACAGGTGTGGGGGAGACTAGGGGCTGGTAGGTGGGAAGGAGAGAAACGGGTACAAATGGGGCATTCAGGAGAGACAAACATGGTCCAGAGACAGGAGGGAGTGAGAAGCCTGGAGAGGAAAGGTCATAGAAAGGTGGGAACAGCTAACCTGAACCAAATGGTTCCTGCTGAGAACACAGGGCTCCCTTCTCTCCCCAACCCTGGGTGTGACCTACCCCCTCCCCCACTGCCAACAGATCCCAGAACCAACTTGACACCCCAAGTCCTGGAAAGCCTCTGGTAGGTGTGTCTCAGCTCACCAGCTCTTAGCGACCCCTTCTGCCTGGCCAGCCAGGCTGCCCCTCTGACCTCTGCCCAGTCAGCTTCACTCACCCTCTACCAGCAGTCGTGTTTCAGCGCTGTCCTGACCGGTCTGGCAGCAATAGATGCCCTGGTCCTCAGGTAGCACGTCACGGATGACCAGGCTGTGGGTAGGGCCGTGGCTGCGCAGCTCGTACTTGTCTCCGGGGCACAGCTCAATCCCCTCCCGTAACCAGCACACGTGGCCCCCCGAACGGGACAGAGTCACCTCCAGCACTGCCCTGCGGCCGACCAGAACCGTCTTCTCGCAAGGGGGGCGGCGGCACATCTGGAGGGGCAGTGCTTGGGGATGGAGGACGAGGGCTTGAGTTAATAGGGACACGCAGGACCCCCTGAGAAGAGACGCATTTTCCCTCCTCGCGACCACCACTCCTGGTTTTAGGTCTCTGTGTCACCAATAGGTTCCCCTGTCCCCCTAATCCAAAGTCTCCTCATCTCCCTCCTACCCAAGGAAATGCACTGCCCTCTGTGAACCACCCGGGCACAGTCCCTCGAGGAAGAGAGGGGAGGGCGTTTTTAGGGCCAGCCGCCAGCCGGCTTGCCAGTCTGGGCCCCAGCTGCTTACCCTCCACCTCCAGCTGCGCCACGGACTGGGCGGGTCCCGCCTGGAAGCGGACCTCACCGGCGTCCTCCGCGCGTAGCTCGCTCAGCACCAGAATATGTTTCTTCTCTGGAGTGGGGGGAGGGAGGCGGGGAGGAGGAGTTAGCTAGGCCTACACCGCCTCTGGGGAGCATTCAGGAATGGGGGTGGCGCCGGAGTAGGTCCCCGGACCGGTTCGGACGCCTCAAATATGAGCTGTTTTGGGCGGAATTGGTAAGTTGAAGGGGAGGAGGAGCGGTCCAGGACCAAAGCCTCAGAGCTTAGGGGCCGGGGAAAGATGATGAGACAGCTCTTTGGGCCGTGGGGCGGGGCCCATCCTAGTTGGAGGCGGGGCTTATCCCAGCAGGGCGGGGCCTGCCTGTCCCGGGGGCGGGGCAGCAAGGGGCCAGAGCTGGTAGAACGTCGGCCAGACCTTCCTGTCGGATGCGGACGCGGCCTCCAGGTCTCAACGGGCGCCCTTTGAGCTCCCAATTCCCAGGGGTCTCGACCTCCGACACAGTGCACTCGAACGTGGCGCCGTCACCTTCGCGGGCGCGCACCGACCGGAGCTGGGAGAGCACTAACACCATGCGCTCTGGGGCGGAGCCAGGGGCGTGAGGCGGGGAGGGTCGGAGGGGGCGGCACCCGACCACGCCCACTCCCCGCCCCTCTGTCTAGAAGTACCAGATCAGTCACTCCCTGGGAAAGTCAGATCCGGGGAACCCACTCCCTCAGCAGTGTCCGGCCGGGGCAGCGCCCGGTACCCACCGCGCACGACCAGGCGCACGGGCCCTGCGTGAGCCGTCCCCACCGCGCAGCTGTAGGACCCAGCGTCCAAAAGGTTGCAGCGCCGCAGCTGGAGAAAGCGGCGCGTGCCGAGGGACTGGAGCTTCAGCCGGGGGCTGGGGATGAGCGGGCACCCGTCCTACGGGCAGGAGTTGTATAGGGTAGGAGTGAACTTAGCTGGGCGGAAGCGGCGGCGCCGTGTTGATGCCAAGAGGTTTCGAGGCTGATTTATGCCCGTCTGTGTCCCCCAGGCTGGGGTCGGACCACCCCGCACCTTTGGGGCAACACCAGGAGCCTCACTGGGGAGGTGTCACCCTTTGGGGACGTGAGGGCTGAAAAGGGGTGCCATAGTCTCTGGGAGCCCGGAGTCATGTACTGATCATACCAGCTATGGGCATGGATTCTGGAATAAGGCAAATCTGGATTCAAATATGAGCTCTGCCCCTGGTCAATAATTGACTCAATTGAACCTCAGTCTCCTAGAGATAACACGGAGACATGACTTATTTCATAGGGTTGTTGCAAAGATTAGCTCATTAAATGTAAAGTGCATGAGGCACTTCTGCTCAGCGAGTATTAATGTTTCTGTTTGGGGAATCATTAATGTTATTGTTAGGATGCTGGGGTAGACTGGGCTAGGGCTGCTGCTCTGACCTTCTCCCAGGTAACATCAGCCAAGGCCTGGGAAAGCTTGCACTCCATCGTAGCCGTGTCTCCCTCAGTCACCTCTAGGTCCTGTGGCCCCCACACAATGGTCACTGGGGCCTCTGGGAGTGGGAGAAGGAGGACACACTTGGGTACAAGGGGTTAGTGGTGGACACACTTAGACAAGGTGGTCATTGTATACTAGTGAGCAGGGGATGTGCTGGGACAAGTGGTCCAAGGGGAACGCTGGTCAGTGGAAAGCACAGCCAGGAAACAAGGGTCAACAGGGCAGGAGTGGCCAGCTAGGGGTCACATTTTAGGGTGGTTAGTGGGGACATACTGAGGGGAACTGGGGCAGAGGTGCCAGAGGAGTCACCCATAGGCAGGCATGGTCACTGGGAGCCACACTTGGCTAGAATGGACAGGTGATACTGGCCAGGGTGGAGCATAATGGAGTCAGAGGAGCATTGGGGGAACCCTAGAGCAGGTGTGGTCAATGGAGAACATACTGGGCTGGAAGCAGAACTGGGGGCACTGAGACAGAGTTGCTAGGGGAGTCACCCTCAGGCAGCCAGTTGTTTGTTGGGACTTGAATGGTCGGAAGGGTACACTCAGACAAGCAGAGGGGGCCACAGCAGGCAGGCATGGTCAGTGGGGTCACATGCAGGGTAGTCAGTGAGGCCACGGTCAGCAGGCAGACAGTAGTGACCACACTGGCACAGGCATGCTCACAGTGGCACAGTCGGTGGTTTGCAGGGACTGAGTCAGTGGGGCTGCACTGGATCAGACTGGCCAGAGAAGCCACACTCTGCTAGGGAGGTCAGTGAGAGTCACAGTGGGACAGGCATGCTCAGCAGGGGCCACACAGGTAGTGGGATCAGTAGAGTAACACCCAGGGTGGTCAGCAGGCAAGTGGCCATCCCGGAGGCCGCACCTCTCACAGTGAGTCTGGCTGCACAGCGCAGGGAATCTGCAGTGAAGGAGATGCATCCCGAGTCTGCCAGGCCCAGGCCACTGAGGACCAGGCCGTGAGTATGGCCTTCTGCATGAAGGTGGCACTTGGGCCCTGGCTGCAGCCGTACTCCACCACGGGCCCACTCTCCAGTCACACCCTCCTGGGACAGCTCTAGCTGGAAGGTGGCGCTGCCCCCCTCAATGACAGTCACATCCTGCAGAGGCTGCAGAACCCTTAGCTGCCTCGCTGGTTGGGGGAGATGGGGAGAGAGGGAGGATGAGGGCTCCAGCTCTGGGCAGGGGTTTCAGAGGGCTCACACACCCTTTGGCCTTGCCTGTACCACCTCTAACACTTAACCTCAGGCCCTACAGAACAAAGTTCGGAACCAGGGTGCAAGGGAAAGGGAGCACAGCAGGCCAGACTTGGTGAGTATATAGGGGCTTATTGGGGTTAGGAGAGGGGATAAGTTGTGGTTAGGGGGTTGAGGAGTCTTGGGGAAGGTTGCTATGACACTGGAAGGAGCACAGAATTTGGAGTCAGACACATTTGGAGTCTAGCTCTGCCACATAATTTGTATGCTGTGTGACCTTTGGCAACTGCTTGGCCTCTCTGGGCCTTAGTTTTCCCATCTGTACAAGGTGAATAGCATTAAGAGATGGGTTTATTGTGATTAAATGAATGAAATAAATTGGAAGAGAGTATGTATCACCACCATCAAGAATTTACCAAGTTCCTTGTGGGCTTTTTCATGTTATCTCAATTAATGCTCCCCAAAACCCTTGAAGTAGGGATTAGGTCCATTTTTAAGAAGAAGTGGTTTCAAGAGATTAAGTAAATTGCACAAAGTCACACAGTTAAAAGAGGGCTCCAGCCTCCAGGGTGGGGCTGCTATTTCCCAAATGGGCCCATGTATCCTTGGGCACATCACTGGGGGTGAAGGATAAACATGGGAAGTCTTTCTGGAGTATATTTATGTGTAGAGCAAAGCCAACTTGAACATACAAAATGGAATGCAGAATCCACATGGACTTCTGGGGTAAATAAAAAACATTATAAAAAGAAAAGATTTGCTTTGGGCAGGCTGCTGCAGGTCACACTCCTGGAGGCCAGCGGGGGCTGACTAGCCTCAGTGGTGAGGGGCACTTTGGTGGGGACTTGAGGGGCCCTGGGCCAGCCAGAAAAGGCAATGTGTTAGGACAGGATAGGGCACTCACGCCTCACGCTGAGCCTGGCCAGGGTGCGGTCGTGGTGGCTTTCACATCCGTAGGTGCCCTGATCAACTAGCATGACACCGTGGATGAAGAGGCGGTAGATGTGGCCATCCTGGGCCATGGATACGCGAGAGTCATGGGGTAAGGGCTCCCCGCCTCGTACCCAGCGCACAGCACTTGCTGCGCCCACTCGGCCTGTCTCCACTTCGAGGCACACATCCTGGCCTTCTTCTGCCCGCACATCCTGCAGCCGCCGCAGGAACAGCAGTTCCATTTCTGGGGAGGAAGGGGGAAGGGACTATGGTGGGGCCTGGAGGTTGACCCCTTGCTCATGCCACTGGTCTGTCCCTGGACAGAAGGGCAAGGCTGCTAGGGCCAGGGCTGGGAGAATAGGTACAGGGCAGAAAACCATTCCATCCCCATCAGGACCAAACCTCTAACGTGGAGCCGCGCACTTGTAGCTGTGCTCCCTGCTCGGGCGGTCACAGTCCCTGCATCCTCAAGCTGGCAACCTCTCACAGTCAGTGTGCGGCTTGAACCATCCTGGGCCATCTCTAGCTGGGGCCCTGGAGTGACAACAGCCCCATTGCGCAGCCAGGTGACATCGGCGTCTGGTGGGGAGACTTCACACCGGAATGTGGCATCGTCGCCCTCATGGACAGTTAGTGGCGTTAGCTCAGAGACCAGCTTCGCCAGTGGTGGTTCTGGGGGCAGTCAGGCAGTAAGGTGGGCAAAGTGTCTTTCCCTCTTCTTTTCATCCCATGCTAAGGTATATGCTCTCTTGTTACTTAACAGACCTGTCCTGAGGATCTACAGTGTGTCAGCCACAGGGGGTGTCCCAAAGGGTAAGATGCTAACTCTCTGCCATTCCCTCTCAATCCTGGCCTGGCTCTGCACCTCTCTGATGCCCTAATAACAATGAATCATTTGCCATGTACCCTATTTATCTCATGTAATTGCTACAACATCCCTGTAAGTCAAGCACTATCTCCCCATTTCAGAAATGGGGCTCAGAGAGGTTAGGCCACTTGCCAGTCACACAACCCCTGGGAAAGAGAATCCCAGTTGTAGACTGGGTGGGTTGACTCCAGAGCCCCTGCTTTAAACCAGTGGACTATGCCTCATCCTACTGGAGGGCTCCTGAAAAAGGGTGCCCAGAGCCCTCAGCCAGCTAACAGCTTTGCATGCACTAGTTGGAGCAAGAGGCAGTAAGGAGGGGTTTGGTGGTTTAGTGGGGCCCAGAATGGTGCATAGGTGTGGTCCTAGGGGGTGCCAGGGCCCAAAGAGTATTGGGGGTGCATGTTACCTTCCACATGGACGAGGAAGATGCGGCTGTCCTGGGGTGCGTCGCACAGGTACTCCCCAGCATCCCTGCTCCGGGCCCCCTGTACCCGCAGCACCTGCCTTGCCCCAGCCTGCTCCAGCTGCACCCGCCCCTGGCTGGCCAGGCGCTCCCCATCCTTGTACCAGCGCACAGGGCCCCCCGGCCCAGAAAGGTGCACCACCAGCTCTAGGTCCCCGCCTGGGGTGCTGCGAACCCTCGTTTGGGCAGCCTCTGGGGTCACCACCCGCACAGGGGGCTCTGTGGGGTCAGAGTTGGGGGTCACTAGGAGGGAGAGACTCAAGGGCTTCATTCAAGGAGGGTGGTGGTAGGCAAGATGGGGAGAGGTACTGAGAGAGGTGGGCTAGGGACGGAAGAGGTGTGCTGGGGAAGTGGGGAAGCTAAGGGGCCTGAAGGTGCAACTCCCAGGCTTTTTGCACAAGCTATACTCACCAGCCACCTGGACACTGAAGGTACAGCTGGGGCCCCCTGGGCCTGCCCCAGACTGGCAGGTGTAGAGCCCTGCATGAGCAGGGTTTGCAGCCTGGATACAGAGGACGCGGCGAGGTCCCTCAGCTTGGAGTTCCAGGCCCTCTCCCTCCTGCACCGGCCTCCCATTGTGACTCCAGAAAACAAGTGCGCCAGCCCGAGACAATTCACAGCTCAGCACCACCGGTTCCCCAGGGGCCACACAGAGTGGGCCAGGGGCTTCCTCTGGGGCAAGGAACTGGACTGGGGCCTCTGGAGAGAAAGAGGAAGGTGTCAGCTCGGGCTTGCCCCAACCCGCCACCCAGGGCTGGCCGGAAGCACCCACCAGCCAGGCTGACATTGAAGGTGACAGCTTCATCACGAGTCTCGCACACATACTCCCCGGCATCTTCAGGTTGGGCATGGGGCAGGGTTAGGGTGCGAACAGGCCCCTCAGCACCCAGCTGCAGGGTGTCCGATGCTTCCACCTCCAGCCCATCCTTGAACCAGCACACCTGGGACCCGGCAGGGGCCACCTCGCAGCGCAGCTCCACACGCCCTGGAGCACCGAACTGTAGGTCCAGGGAGCGGGCGGCTGGGTGCACAATCCTCTCTGGTGGGGCTGGTGGCCAGACAGAGGGGCACTAGGGCTGACTCAGTCACCAGCCTCTACCCACCTCATCTGCTAGCTTCTCTGCCCTCTTCCCTTGCAGCACTGCACTTGGAACTTCTGGCACCAGCCACAATCCGTGGGTGCCTACTGTGTGCCAGGTGCTGTGCTAAGCCCATTTGCAACTCTTCTCAGCCACTTGCGATACTCTCTACAAAGCGTACTCCTGTAGGCTTCACTTTACAGATAAGGACCTTGGGACTCTTTGGAGGGAAGTGATCTGTCCAAGGTCACATGGACAGAAAGAGGTAGACCCCCACTCCCACCCAGAGCCATCTGACTCCAATGCACACCCTTCCCGACTGTGTCCCCATTTCATACTCCCTTTCCCTGCCTTGCCTCCAATGCACAGAACACCTGAGACAGCATCCATTTTACTTTTCTGGGGTCTGTCCATCCTCACCGGAATGCAGCTCTAAGACAAGATATTTTCTCTTATTGGCTCACTACTCTAGTCCTCAGCATCCAGAATAGGGCCAAGTACATAGCAGGTGCTCAATAAGTACTTGTTGAATGAACGAACGCTCCTAATTGCTGGCTCTCTCCACCAGGCCTCCAGTCACTGTCCCAGCCTGATCTGGGCAAGCCAGAGCTCTGTGAAGGCTGAGACTGAGGGAGCTGGGGAAGGGCGGCGGGCAGGAGAAGGAACAGGCTGTGAGCAGCAGCTGGGGGACCCCAGGATGTGGGAAAGGGGGGTTGGGTCCCTCAGCCTCCTGCCTCTCTAGCTCCCCAGAGACTGCCCACCTATGACAGTGACAGTGAAGAAGGCTGAGTCATCCCCGGCGTCACACACGAACTCGCCCCCGTCCTCAGGCTGGGCAGCGGGCAGCACCAGGCGGTGGTGCAGCCCATCATTCTCCAGCACCAGGGCCTCGCTCTCCTCCACCTCTAGCCCATCCTTGTACCAGCGCACGGGGGCGTCCTCCCGAGACAGCTCACACATCAGCACCACACACTGCAAGCTCACGGCGATCAAGGTCACCTCATCCTGGGGGTATATGATGCGTACCGGAGGCTCTGTTGAGGGGGACAACCACAGACTGTCACAATGTCACCTTTAGCCTCCCTGGAGCCACCTGGTACCATGAAGTTCCTGTCACCCACAATAATAAGAGCAATAGGATAATAACAATGAGGAAAAATAGGTCTGTAATCTGCTCTTTGAAATTCCCAGGGCCAGAGGTGTGACAGAATCCAGAATGCTTTGGATTCCAGAAATGGTGCATATTTATCCTATCACATACCTATGCCCCCACTGGGCAAAATAATTAACCACATTGACATTTCTGCAGTGTAACACAGATGTATTCACTCCTAGCAGGATAATTAAAGCATAGAAATGGTTTCACAGCTGCTAATTCAGGTTTCACAAAAACGACTTTGAATATCAAACTACAAAAAGCCTTTTGATTTGGATTTTTTTGGATTTTGTAGTTGTGGATAAGCGATCATGGATCTGTAATAGCAAATACTTATATGCCATTTCCTAAGGTTCCAGGAACCATCCTAAGCACTTTACATGTTGAACCCTCACAGCAATTCTAGGAGGTAGGTATTATTTTATCCCAGTTTTCCAGATGAGAAAATTAAGGCACAGAATGATTATGCAACTTCCTTAAGGCCACCAGCAGATACACCTACTCTAGGGCAGGAGGAAAAACCACTCTGTTAAAGGGAGACTCCGAATCTGCACGTAGTGGTAGGGATTCCAAGCCAAGGCCTGCAGGAATTCAGTAATGATTTTTGCATCTGTGCATAAGAGTTGCCAACACCTGTCTGACAGTTCCCCAAGGAGGCTAAATGCTGACTGGGGGAGTTCATTTCCAACTGTTGCAAAGTTGTCATATATCCACAAGGGAGCTATGTCGACATTGGAGGTGACCAGTGCACTGAGCCCAGGCCTGCCCACGCACCTGCGCACCCTGGAGGTGTCCCAGAATCTTTGTTTCCAGGACACATTAGCCCACCTTCAGCATTCAGCCCCCTTATGGCTAGGCTGGGGAACTGCTAGCTTCCCGGTCTTAAGTTTTTGCAGAGGTGTGCATGGGCAGATGTGGACAGACTTGCTTGCCAGCACACAGCCCTCTGCCTCTGCAATCCACCTCCCTAAATGGACTTGTTAAGAATCTAGAGGACACAGGCTGGTTCTCTGGGGCCCAGCAAGGCTGGAATATTACAGAGTGTGGCTGCCTGAGGGGTGGGGGAGTTGACGGGGACCGTGGGGTGAGGACAGGGTGCTGTGATGGGGCTGGGGTGTCTGTACAGCTTTGGGGTCTCAGCTTAGCATCAGACTTGATTCTCTTTGGTCCACAGCCAAGTTGATGCTTGTGTGAGGTTCCCCATGAAGAATCTGGTGTTCTGTGGGGAGGCCAAGTGTAGGCTGAAATGTGTGTGGCTGTGGCCATTATGTCTGGCTTGGGCTTGGGGTGGGAGAGGTTGGGGATTCACTACAGAAAGGCCTTTTTGGTTTTGTGGGCTTGTGTGTGCCAGGATGCACTATCTGGAGTACAGGGAGCCGGGGTGGAAGGGGTTCTGGGGTGGGGTTGGGGGCCTAGGTAGCCCCAGGTCTGGGGTGTCAATTCCTAGGACAGGGCAGGGAAGAGAGCAACGAGACTGTGCCAGAAGCAGGATCATTGCTCCAGTACAGTCACTGGGGTTCTTCTGTGCCTCCCAGAGCTGCCTAGGCCCTAAGATGCCCCAATACCCCACAAGCCCACACATACACCCCAGGATTGGTGCTGTGGGCTTCAGCCCCCAGGTGTCCAGCACAGAACCGCCATCACTTCCATAGTCATCATCCTGTGTGTTTCCCACTTTGACCATTCTCCCTGTACCTTCAGCCAAACCCACTTAGTTAATTAGCCCCGTGCTCCAAGTATCTGGTTTGAAGGCATTTCCTGCCTGCAGACCAGGTTAGCAGCCTCCAGCTTGGACTCCCACTTGCGCCCTATCACAACACTCAATATCCCACACTCCAGATGCTGTAATGTGTCTGGCTTTCCTGCCAGGCTGTGCACTCCTGGAGGGGAAGTGTGTCTGTCTGCGTGCTGCCAGGTATCCGGAGCTCAGCCCAGGGCAGGCTCCTGCAGGTGGCATGGTGACTTTCTCTGAGGCCCTTCCTGACTCTCTTGTTTGACATTCTTGAGCCCTCTGCCCTTAACAGCACTTGTCACAAGGTGTCACTGTTATATTTATTTGTGTGTTTATTGATTTAACACAGGGGTCGCAAACTCAAAAGCCCACAGGGGCCAGGTAGGTAGGGTCAGTGGCTGAAGCAGTGTGGGGAGAGGCAAAAAGGAATGGCAGAGAGGGAGGGACAGAGGAATGTGGGCCCCGTAATATGGGGCAGCTGCTACTCAGTGCCAGCTGTTCGTCGCCATGGGGGGAAGCGGGACCAGAGTCGCCGGGTCTTCGGCTTTTTCAAGAGGACGCATAACTCCGGATTGTTATTTGGACTGTCCTGACTTTGGTAAGACTCTGCAGACCAAACAAAACACATCTGTGGGCTGGATGGGGCCCTAAGGACTGCCCGTTTGCGACCCCTGGTTAACACCTGCCTCCCCAGCTAGACTGGCAGCATTTGGAGAATAGGGACCACGTGTCCATCATGCACTAATTACCCGCGACACCTGGCCTGGCACCCAAAGCATTGAAAGTACTCAGTAAAGGAGCTGGTGGAGCGTATCTGTTCCCAGCCTCAGGTGCCGGGGAGGAGCCTACTTAATAGAATAGGGGCCCTGGGTAGGGAGCCCTGGTACATGCACCCACAGCCCCTCCTTCCTCCTCCCTCCTCCCCAGCATGCTAGCTAGTGGGTATGCGGCCAGCTCCCCTAAGGGCTCAGGACTGTCCTTTGGTGACCCTGGGTAGCCGGGGTGGGCCCACACCTGTGACAGTGACAGTGAAGGAGGCTGACTCGTCATCGATTTCACACAAGTACTCGCCGGAGTCCTCGAGCTGGACAGCAGGTAACACTAAGCGGCGGACAGTGTCCTCCTTCTGCAGGAGCAACGCCGGGCTCTCCAGCACCTCTTCCCCATCCTTGGTCCAGCGCACTTCGGCCCAGGGCCGGCACAACTCACAGGTCAGCACCACGCGCTCCAGGCGCACAGCGGCCACATACACCTTGCCGCTGGGGTACACGATCCACGAGGAGACATCTGGAGGATAGGGATGGCCACAGCTGGGTGTCAGTGCACCCTGCTGCTCTCCGATCCATGCCTGTTCTCTAGTCCTGGAGAGTGGCCCCATGGACTGTGTGTCCCAGCTGCTTGGACAGTTACACACAGCTGGAGACACAACCACAGCCCCCAAAGCACATCAGGGGCACAGCAGCACAGGGGGACCATGGTGTCAGCCTCACCTATAGAAATGTTCCACATTCTCTGGGTTGGGACAGGAATGGGATGAAGGGTGGGACTGGGAAGAGGAGGGTTGGGTGCCGACAGAACTGGGTCTTCCACAGGCCTCTGAGATCTTCTGATTCCTCTAGTGCTTGGGTCCACTCGCTCTAGACCCTGCCCTGCAGAACTGCCATTCCTGAAGGTTCCCCAGGAGCAGGCAGGACCTTCTTGTCATGCATCCTGCCTTGACCAGTGCATTTAGAACAATGCATTTCCTGTGGGGGACTGAACCTCAGGGTACAGACTGTGGGTGGGGGGAGAAGGGGGTCATGGGATCAACTGAGGCGGGGAAGTAGGGCCTGGGAATACTGGCCCAGCATGAGAGTGCGGCAGCTGCACGGCCAGGGGCAGAGAGCACCTTCCCGACCCATGGGCCCACCCGGCCCCCACCTGTGATGGTGACAGTGAAGCAGGCACGCTCATCTCCAGCGACGCACTGAAACTCGCCCCCATCTGGAGGCTGGGCAGTGGGCAGCACCAGGCGGTGGCGGGGCCCTTCGTCTTCCAGCACCACGAAGTCATTCTCCTCCACCTCCTGCCCATCCTTGTACCAGTGCACAGGGGCGTCCTCTCGGTCTACCTCACACGTCAGCATGACACACTCAGAGGTTATGGCGTGCACAAACACATGCTCCTGGGGATCCAGGATGTGCACTGGGGGATCTGGCAGGGAGCAGACGTGGGGTCACACAGACACCCCACACATGGGAGACAGGAGCCCGTGCTAGCTGCTTGGCCAGGAGATAGTCTCCTTCCAGGAGGAGGAGGGGGAAGGCCATGTTGTCTAGAGGGCTCTGGGGCAATGACATTGGATACCAATGGCATAGCAGGTGAGGACTGACAGGAGATCATGACACCTGAGTGCTCTATGGGTACCCAGAGGAGTAGAGGTGGCTGCGTGGGGACAGAGAGGGAGGGAGGCACAGAGAGCCTTTGAGCTGAGAAAAGGTCACTATGCAGGCTACATCAAGGCCACGCTTACTGCTGCTTTTATAAGGAAGCCCCCAGTGTGCTGGTCCCAGAACACGTGGGAGGTAGGCACGACTTGGCAGTGCCACAGTGGGACAGTCACTCCCTACAGGTAGGGCGTTTCCTGTTACTGAGTGAGTGCAGGCAGCTGCTAAAAGATCACCTGGCGATGGGGTTGAAACAGGATCCCTATTCAAAGGGAGAAGGTGAGCTCTATCACTGTTTCCTGAGCTGCCCTGCCCTCCCGGAGTGGACCCTCAGGCTCTGTCCTAGATATCCTGGCTTTGGAGGTATTGGGGGGGCCTGGGCATCTGCATTTATAACAAGCTTCCAGGGTGGTTATGCAGCAGCCAGTACATGGACTGGCTTCTGAGAACCATGGCACCACTACACTGAAAAGCTTCCCTTTGGCCCTGGCCACCTGGGGAGTGGGATAAGCACACACCTGGGTGTGAACTCAGCTATGGTGTTTGCTGGCTGCATGATAATGGACAGGTACATAACCTCTCTGAACCTCGGTTTCTTCATCTGTGAAGTGGTGCTACGTTGCCCCTTATCTGGTTGTGAAGATTACATAAAATAATATATATTTGAAGTATCTAGAATGGTATTACTTGGCTTATGGTAGGTACCCAAAGACTGTTAGCTCCCATCTCTCCTTCCCTGAAGTAAATTTAGTTTCCTGACCCTACCCTCTGCAGAGGGTACGTATGGGGCAAGTATACCAGGCGGTGGCACAGCCCTTCGTCGTCCAGCACCACGTGCATGGGACAATTAACGAGCAAGTAGAGAGTGATCGAATACATGTCCCCTAGCCCACTAGGCCCTCCCTGGAAGAGACCCCCACCATAAGCAGGCAGGGTTTGCACAGCCCCCAGGGCCAGCCTCGGCTGAAGGGACCCAGGTCACCATGATTCCTGACCTCGGACAGTGACACTGAAGAAGGCCGAGATCCCTTCTGTTCTGCACTCAAACTCGCCAGTGTCCTGGACTTCGGCTGCAGGCAGGATCAGGCGGTGTTTGCGTCCATCCATCTTCACCACCAGTGACTCGCTCTCCTCTACCTTCTGCCCATCCTTGTACCAGCTTGCCGGGAAGTCCACCCGCGAGAGCTCACAGATTAGTACCACCGGCTCTGAGGTTGTAAAGGTCAACACCACCTTGTCCTGGGGACTCAGGATGTGCACGGGGCTCTCTGCGTGGGAGAAGCATGGTCACAGGCAGCGTCCTCATCATGCTCTGCCTGGGGTAAGCAGCCCCTCCTGGTGCAGGAGGGTGGGCACTTCAGGCCAGACAGCTGCTGTCGATGGACTTGTTGGAGTTAAAAAAGAAAGTAACTTGGGGCTTACACACCAACTCTTAAGAGCAGCAGTTTTCGTGTGCAGAAGTTCCTAGGGAGCCTACTAAAAATGCAGATTCTTAGACACATTCCTACCCCCACCCCACCCCCACCTGGGAAATGTGCAAGGGCCAGGGAATCTGCATTATAAACTAGCCCTCAGGGCAACTCTGATATAGGTGATCCCAGGTCACATTTTGAAAATCTTCACTGGCTGCTGGTTATTTCTCACCTTGCCCCCGTCCTGGGATGCTGACAGCCAAATGCCTCAAGACGCTATGCTTGGGTGCCAAGGAGTTCCTTCATTGGCTTTATAAACTCCAGCAATGGTGAGATGGCAAGTGCCAGCAGGTTCCCTGAACTATCAGATGCCCACCAAAAGCTGTCCTCAGGGATGCCGCATTCCCTTCCAACTGTGTTAATTCTCCATGTAAAGTGATTAGGATTGTGCCTCACAGCAAGGAAGTTGCTCTGACAAAGTGTTAGCAATTACATGAGAGGGCAGGAAACAATCAGGGACTAGGGGCCAGGGTCCATGTCCCTGAGATGACAAACATGATAGGATTCTATAAACCACAAAATGCTCCAGAAAATTTGGATATGATGCTGATGAGCATAACAAGGGGTCCCCTGTACATTACATATGGGTTGAAATCTTTCTGGACCACCGAGCCCTCTACCTGAGCCCACTATGATGCTCCGTACTCTTCCTGCCCAGGTGTGAGAAATGGGAACAGAATCTGCCTCGTTTTGCCAATAGTACTTCTGTATCTTGACCCTCCCTATGTGCCCACCAGCTGGTCCCCGCCACCACCAACCTTGGATGGTGAGGGCAGCTGAGTCCTGCACCCCGGGGCAGCTGAAGCCGACCAGGGCCCCACTGTCCTGGTGCTTAACGGCTTGCAGGATGAGTCTGTGCTGCAGGCCCTTCTGCTCCATACGGTATCGCAGGGCTCCAGGGCCCATCTGGCCCTCTGGCTCATTACTCTTGAGCTCTTCCCCATTAAGGAACCAGGTGCCCTGGATGATGGTGGAGAGATCGAGGGAGAAAACAGCATCTTCCCCATTGTATACCTGCACATCCTCCAGACCTGACACCAGGCGAGCTGTGGGCACTGAGATGGGGACAGAGTGCAGCCATCAGAATCACAAGGTAGGCAAGTGGTGGGTGTGTAAGAGGACAGGGAGAGTGTGACTTGGGGTTACAGACACTGATGGACAGGATGGCTCTGGAAGGGCCAACTTACCAAGGTGAGCAGACCCATGGAACACAACGTGGGGACTGCGGCCATGTTCACTGACTGTGCAGACGCGGAAGCGGTAGTCACCCTCGGAGGGCACACAGTCTCCCGGCACCTCCACAGCTCCAGCCTTCTCAATGCTGAAGCACTGGACCCAGTCTTCCGAGCCCAACTCCTGCCGCTCCAGCCGGTAGATGAAGGGGGTCTCAGGAGCTGGCTCAGGAGGCTTCCAGGTAAGCAGGACAGTGTTCTTGTGGCCCTTAAACATCTCTGCCAACACGGGGGGTCCCGGGGGGCTGTGCTTGATGCCTGAGACAAAGGCAGGATTTGCATTCCAGCATGCTCCAACCTCCCACAGGGCCTCCCAATTAAGTCTGCTTTGACAACCCAGGCTCTGGCACCTGGTCACCCTCCTGCCCTGGCCCTCCTGTTGGACCCTTGAGGAATTGTCCCAGGGGCTTTCCTGCCCTCACATTTGACTCTGAGCAGAGTGGTGGTACGGGAGTTGCCCAGGCTAAAGGTGACCTCGCCGGCATCTTCTCGGGTGACCGCTGGAAGGACCAGAGCATGCATGTGACCCGAGCTGCTCTGGCATGTGGTAGGCAACTCCTCCCCATCACGGCTCCAGTGTCCCTGGACATCAGCCTCTCGTGTCTCCACCAGCAGCACAGCATTCTCTCCCTCCAGGACATCAAGCTTCCGGGGCAGCCGCTTCAGGATGGGCCCTGAGACATAGACAGAAATCCCTCAGTCCAGGGGTCTGGGCACCAGCCTGCCTTGGCCTCAGCCTCCTCCTACTGGCCAGCCAACCTTTGACTGTCACATTGGCCACGGTGCGCACCCGGCCCCGCATCTCGCACAGGTAGACACCGTCGTCATCCGCCTTCAGCCTGTGGATGACAAGGCGCCGCACTGCGCCCTCCTCTATCTGCTCATACTTGCGGCAGGGGAGCAGCCGCTGGTCCTCACGGAACCAGGCCGTGGGGATGCGTGAGTTGGGTACTTTACACTCCAGCACGGCAATCCCATGCTCCCGGCCCTCCACATCTTGCAGGGGCCTTGTGAAGCGGAGGCGGGGCTCTGTGGAGAGGGGAGAGACAAGAGAAGGCTCTGGTCAGACCAGGAGGACTCCCTTGCACCACTGACCACCTACCCCACATTAGCCTATACTGTTTGTATTTCTCCCAGAGCAAGCAGGCATTTGGAATCACAGAGAAACCACCAGAAGGGAAGTCAGGTGGCCTAAATTCTCATCTGACCCTGACACTCAGTAGCCACATCATCTTGAGCAAGGCCATTTCAGTCATCCTGGGCCTCAGTCTCTTATATTAAAGTAGGGAAAAGGATGGAAGGGCTTGGAGCACATCTCATTTTCTAGCTATTCTCTGAGGCACTGCACAAATTCTGTAAGGGTCTGAGTTGAATTTCATTTTTAAATCATTTTAACCATTTTTAAAACTGCATTTTATGAAAAGAAAGCATGATGATGGGAACGAACAGTGGGTTAACTTGGCTGCTGGAGAAGCACATTTGTTCTCCAGCTCTGGGAAGCTCTGCCTTCTTGCTGGGCTTTTCTTTCCTGATAGTGTTAAGAGCTCAGTGTGGCCCAGCGAGTTTGTACACATCAAACCGTACCACTGCAGCACAGGTGCCCCATGCTTGACTGCATGCCAGGCAGGGCTAGGGAGATTAGCCAACTTTTTTTTCCTTGAGGGAAAAAGCTGGGCAATAATTAGTAAAGGTAAAATACTGTGTTATGATGCACTCCTATTATGGAGAACTTCAGCTTCCAGTGAGAGTTTGGGTGTTTCCCCCCCTGAAATTTTCTGTTTCTGAGCAACATTAAGCACTTATCAGATACTGCTGGGGACTCAACTTTGAAATATAAATTTCCTCTCCTTCACCTCCCTCTTCTTTCAAACATGGAGAACAGTTTAATGAAAGGGCATTTTTCCATCCTCAAATTTACCTTTGGCATGCCTCCGGAATTCTTATGCCTGTGTCCAGGCCCTTCATGGGGCTTATAGATTAAACCCAGCTATGACTGCAGCCTCTACTTAAAATGTGAATTGAATAAAATAGCTTCCTTGGTGTTACTGATTTGCTTTATAAAAATTGGCTTTATATAAATCTGGAGTTAGAAATTTACACCCACAAAATGTTCCTTTCATCATTCTTATATAGTGGGGCCCCAGTCGCGATTATCCATTGGGGGGAGGGGAAATCGAATAACAGAAAACTATTGAGCCAAAGAGTTCCCTCTCCGTTTGTACAATAATCACTCCTTAAAGCCCTTTTCAAAGGGTGGTTTTCCACCATCTGCCTCAGAATCACTTGGGGAGTTTGCTAAAAAGTTCCTGGGTGTGTGCAGACCTACTAAATCGGAATCCTTGGTGGGGTGAGAGGCGGGCAGGATGTGGAATTTTAGTGTTCTGCCTCCCCCACCCCTTACCGCTGGGCGCTGAGCGATGGGAGCTGGGTCATATGGGGAGGTGGAGCAAGGAGGGCCTCGGAGGGCACAGGAGGCCCCTTCCCAGGCCCCTGCCGCCCTTGGGCCCCGCAGTACCTTTGACATGCAGCTGCACAGCACTGAGCGTCTGGCCCGCCGAGTTGCGCGCCGCGCACACGTAGAGCCCGCGGTCCTTGGCCTGGCAGTAGAGCACCTTGAGCACAAAGCCGCCGTCGCGGTCGCGGTACATGAGGCGGCGGCGATCGGGGAGCAGCAGGCGGCTCTCCCAGTGCCATTCGATCTCGGGCTCGGGCTTGCCCATCACGTAGCAGCGGAACTTGGCGTGCTTGCCCTCGTTCACCCAGAAGGTCTTGGGCGCGCACTTGAGCGGCTCCACCACGGGCTTGGAGGCCTCGTCGGGGTCACAGGGAGGGCTTTCGGGGGGCTGGTTCACCTGGAGCAGCGCGCCGGCCTGCGTGTGGCCGTGCGCGTTGCGCGCGTGGCATACGTAGACGCCCGAGTCGGGCAACCGCGCCGCCAGGATGCGCAGCGCCAGGCTCGCTCCCGGGCCGCCCTCGGCGCGGCCCGGCTCGAGAGCGAAGTGACTGCTGTCCCACACTTCGTCCAGGGCCATCCCATCCTTCTCCCAGTACAGGATGGGCGCCGGGAGGCCCCCCACCTGGCACGTCAGCACCACCTCCGCCCCCCGCAGCACCCACTGGGACTGAGGCCCTGTTAGGAATACCGGGGCGCCCTCCCCGGCCCCAGGTGGGGGCAGCGGGCGCTCAGCGGGCTGGGGCTCGGGCTCAGGGGCCAGCGGCTCCAGCACGGTGACGGCGGCTGCCGCGTAGGCCTCTCCGGCCGCGTTGCGAGCGCGACACACGTAGACCCCCGCGTCGGTGGGCAGCGCGCTGCTCAGCAGCAGGCCGTGCTCGGCGCCGTCCGCCGGGAAGCTCAGGCGCTCCGAGGCCGCCAGCTGCTGCCCGCCCTTCTCCCACACGACAGTGGGAGGCGGCTCCCCCAGGACCACGCACTTGAGCTCGGCCTCACCGCCACTTACCACCCGCACGGGCCGCGGGAAGCGCAGGAAGCACGGGGGGCTCCCCTGATCCCCCGAGCCTGCCTTCATCGCGGCGGCTGCGGACGGCCTGCGGGGCGCGGGGGACAGGCGAGCGGCGGACGCGCAGAGGCCGGGAGCGGCAGCAGGAACCTGGGAGGCGGGGCGCGTCTGGGGACTCGGCGCGGGGACCCGCGGAGCTCCCCTCCTTACCCTCCGCCCGGAGCTGCAGCTCTGCGGCGGCAAGATTCCCGGGCCTGGAGCCCAGAGCTCAGGGGGCAGTCCTTCCTGTTTGCCTTTACAACGAGGGGCCCCACAGCCTCCCCTGCCCGCGGCCTGGCTTCCTGCTCCTGAGAGCCTCCCTTCCCAGCCCCCTCCCACAGCCTGGGCCTCTTTCCCCTCCTCCCTCCCGCCTCCAGCCTCCAGGTTCCCAACCGACCGCCAGGCTTGGGCCTGAGTGGCAGAGGCGCCTGCAGCTGCCAATCCCCAAAATATTCTCTGATGACACAGCTGGAGGACAAGGGCCTAGAGTGGCTCCTCCAAGCTAAGTATAGAGCAGGCGGGACCACCTGCCCCGTTCCCTAGCCCCAGTTCTAGTCCCAGCCTCAGCGCATCCCCCATGACTGGCCCAGCAGCTGCTAGGTTGAAAGGGGCCCCAGAAGGTCTGAGGGGTAGGCGCATTCTGTCTTCCTGACAAATAGCACTTTTAGGAGCTGGCAGACCCCAGCTCCCAGGCTCCTATCCCACCTGTTGTCACCTTTGTGCTGCATGCTGGGATGTGACTCACACTGTGTGTGTGTGTGTGTGTGTGTGTGTGTGTGTGTGTGTGTGTGTGTGTGTGTGTGAAAGGGGTTGTATCTGTGGGTCAGGTCACTTGGGGTAAAAACCCTCCCTGGCCTCTCCCCTCCCCCAGATTCCTGGCGGGAGTGGGAGATAAGGCTCAGGGCCACAGACGTGTGCGTCAGAGATAGGAGGTCTCAATGCCATGGGCAGGGGCAACTCGGTCTGCAGGGCGTGGGAAGGACTGGGGAAGACTGGGGTGAGCAGGGTAGAAGAGGGCGGGTGGTGGGATGGGGAGGGGAGAGTGGGGAGGCGCTGGGCAGACTCTGACAGAAGGGGCACAGGCCGGGTGTGGGTTCACTGTCGGCAGGCCCAGGTGAGCTATGATGCCCCAGCTGCCACTGCTGCTCTTCTTGCTGCTGACCTTACAGGGTGGGCATGGCTGCCATGGGCCAGACCTGGACCGGGAACTTGTTCTGGCCAAGGTGAGGGCCCTGTTCCTGGATGTCTTGGGGCCCCCAGCAGTGACTGGGGAAGGTGGGGATCCTGGACGCAGGCGTCTGCTCCGAAGACATGCCCAGGGGGCCCTCCTGCGCAGGAGCTCTGAGCCCGAGGAAGAGGATGTCTCCCAGGCCATCCTTTTCCCTGTTACAGGTAACAAGGGTGGGGAATGGCAGGGAGACTTTGAGAAGCAGCTTGGTTAAGCATGGGCTTGGGAGGCTGGCAGATCTGGGTTTGAATCCCAACCTGTGACTCAATTGGCTCTTTGCAACAATGGACGAGTTAATAAACTTCTCTGAGCATCTGTCTCACCTCTAAGATGGACAGTAATGCCTACTGCTCAGGATCAAGTGAGATGGCGTATCTAAAGTGCATGGCTCATAGGAGGCGTTTGGGAGGCAGTTGTCTGGGAAACCAGGTGTCTGTGGGTATGGGCCCCTTTCTGCCACCTTTCCTTCTTTCTCTGGTCCTGCTGCATGCTCCAAATCTTGTTTCAAAAGCCGAAGTAGCTGAGACTTGAGAAGGTATCAGGAATATAGGAGAAAAATTAATTGGGAAACTCCTGGAAAATATGTCTACCTTCTCTTGAATTCCCTTCTCATATCCTTACGTCCCCATGTTCCACTGACAGAACAAGTCAAGCTCTTGTCTGGGTGGACTTTGTTTTAATCTGGCCCACCTTTCCCTTAAAGGGACATTGTTTCCCTCTGCCTCAGCAAAGTGAGTAAACATAGGGCTTTGGGATCAGGCAGAACCCTAGCCTGGACACTTAGTAGTTAAATGTCACTTCACTTTTCTAACCCTCAGTTCCCTTATCTACAAAATGGGTCGATTATTGTGAGGTTCATAATGAAATAACCCATGTAACAGTATTGCTCCAATCGCCAGTCCTTCAACTGACACTGGTCGGTGGTTGTTTGGTATAATCTATGTACCTGTCATTGAAAGGATACCAACTGCCCTGCCCTCTATCCTGAGTTATATTCTTTCCTCTCCTTCCTCCATCTTCTTTTTGGTGTTAATCTTTTTAAAGTGGAATTATTTTAAATAATTTATCATGCAATATTTCTGACATTAAAAAGATATATAAAGTAATATAACAAATGCCTATGTACACACCATTCAAGGTACCATTTCACATTATCAGAGGAACAGAAATTCAAGTCTAATAATTTTAAGTGATGTTGAAGGTAGAGCGTTACACATTGCTGATGGGAATATTACTTGGTAAAACCACTTCAGCGAGAAGTTGGCAACTTCTTGTATTTTTAAAGTCCTTTAATGATAAAATAATAAATGGGGAGCCTCTTGACAGTTCCCTCAAGGCTTCAGGGAGGCCCCAAGTCTGGCAGAGCACTTGGCAGGCTCATGAATGACAGCATCTCCATTTTGAAGAGGAGTTATCCCAGGTCCTGCCAGTCAAGGCTGCCCTCGCTCCCCTCTCTGTCTCTTGCAGGTGTCACCTGTGAGGAAGAGCCAGCTGCTGGAGAGCTGTCCCAGGAGGCGGAGGAGGGCCTCTTCAAGTACATGTTCTGGCCGTCCCAGCACACGCTCAGCCGCCAGGTGACTTCGGCCCAGCTGTGGTTCCATACAGGACTGGACAGGCAGGCCACAGCAGCCTCTAATAGTTCTGGGCCCCTGGTGGGCCTGCTGGCACTATCATCCAGGGGTCCCAAGACTGTGCCCATGTCACTGGGCCAGGCACCCCCTCGCTGGGCTGTGCTGCACCTGGCCACCTCTGCTCTCCCTCTGCTAACCCACCCCATCCTGGTGCTACTGTTGCGCTGCCCTCTCTGTTCCTGCTCAGCCCGGCCTGAGACCACACCCTTTCTGGTGGCCCACACACGGGCCAAGCTGCCCAGTGGAGGGGAGAGAGCCCGACGCTCCGCTTCCCCACTGCCCTGGCCTTGGTCTCCCGCTGCGCTGCGCCTGCTCCAGAGGCCTCCAGAGGACCCCGCTGTCCATGCTGACTGCCACAGGGCAGCTCTCAACATCTCCTTCCAGGAGCTGGGCTGGGACCAGTGGATCGTGCACCCACCCAGCTTCATCTTCCACTATTGTCATGGAGGCTGTGGGCTGTCTACTCCACCAGACCTGCCCCTGCCAGTCCATGGGGCTCCCCCTACTCCTATCCAGCCCCTTTCTTTGGTGCCGGGGGCCCAGCCCTGCTGTGCTGCTCTGCCGGGGACTATGAGGCCCCTCCATGTCCGCACCACCTCAGATGGAGGTTACTCTTTCAAATATGAGACAGTGCCCAACCTTCTCACGCAGCACTGTGCCTGCATCTAAGGGAGTCGTGCTGGTGGCCAGGTCCCCGCCATCAACAACTGGGAGCAAGGGTAGGGTTTGGAAAACATGGTTCCCACTTTTCTGCCTGAGGTCTCCCCTCCCCACCCCACCCCACCCCATCCCGTGGGTAACACGACAATAAACAATAGTGCAGAAGACTTGACATGCATTCTCAGGCTTCTCTGATATGGTGGGGCAGTGGGCAGGTCTGGGCCCTGGGAGCATGGGATTTGGGATCTCAGGTCACTCAGCCTCACTTGACACCAGAGATATGGAGTTCAGGAGCTATAGTTGAATGTGTATCTGGTGGGAGGCTACAGTGGTTGGGGATGACACAAAGGTGCTCCAAGCTCCTGATGGCCATTCTGGAGACAGAACTGGCCCCTGTGCAAGCAGAACCTGACCTGGCAATCAGGTTGTCTGCCTGTCACATCTGAAGACCCCTGCTGTACTCATAGTGCCAACATCTAAGCGGCCACAAGCCCTGCCCACCATCCTCTGCCCTAGCTAATGGACACCCAGCTCAAGATCAGGTGACTGGTAGATGACCAGAGATCACGGCTTTTGGGCCCCACTGAGACAGATGTTCAGAGTTGGTCAAATCTTGGCCTTCTCAGGATCTTGAGTGTGAAGTAAGGGAAAGACATCTGAGTTGGCAGCATCTGAAAGTGGACAAGGACAGACAGGTGGAAGACCAAAGATCTGAGTCAATTTGCTGAGGGCCTTGGGACTCCTTCATCTCTATTATCACTGACTCTTGACATGGAGTCGTGAGGTCTGGCTGTACTGGGATTCAGGTTCCTGAAGTCTTTGGCTCCCCTCATGCACCCTGTGTATCTTTATGTGATCCCTTAACTCAGTCCTCAATGTTGGAAGTGTGGAAAGGCAGAACCTACTGCCTGTGCTCTTTTGTGAATTTGTGTACACTCTGTGCATGTGCTGAGAGTCCAGAGCAGGGCACAGAGTCCCTTTCTTTTCTCATTGTGTCTCCTACTCATTCTGCCCTGGACTGATTGGGCTCTGCTTCCCTGGCTTCCTCACTGCTCTTCATTCTCCTCTGGTCTTGTTATCCTCCACCCAGCCCCAGGGTCCTGGCTCTCAGCAGGTTGGTTCCACCCATCCCTTTCCGGGAGTTTGGGCCCCTCACACTCGAGAGCCCTCTGATAGTGAGTGCACTGCTGCAGTGTGTGCTTGTGCTGACAGTGGGCTCATCAAACACTCACTCCAACTAACTCAGCTTAACAGGGTGGTGGGGTAAGCACCTGCCCCGGGAAGGGGATGTGGAGGGGAGAGAAGCCCATGTCCTCACCCTTAGGCTAACACCTTTCACCTGCTTGAGCTGAGCAGAATGTGCTACTGTACCCTGAAGCCTTAGAGCCTGCCGGAGCAGCTCATGTCTGCTGTCCTGCACCAGCCTCCATCTCTGTTGACCCAAATCCCCAAGGAAAATCCCCAAGGAGACTCTGCTGCTCTGGAGGGGCGAACATGCCTGTTTGCAGTCCTGAGTCTGTCCCGGTACCTTCATCTAGACCCAGCACTGCAACCAGTCTGTGCTCAGAGCTCCTGTTCAAGAGGTGAACTGACAAGAGGACTGGTTGGGCTCGGCCATTGGCGGGAATGGAAGATTCTCCTCAAGCCTGCCTGAGCTCCATGCTCTCCCTGTCTGGCTTCCTTACCAGATCCTCCCTGCCCTGAGTGAGGCCTTTCCCTGGAACCTTCAATCCTTCTACTGGGCATAGGATCCTTCTTCCTGCTGAGGACAACCCTTGTTGACCAGACTTTCCCTGTCCCAGCGATGTGATGAGATCTGAGGGCTTGGGTCTCTCTACTGAGGATCAGTGGCATTGTCCTCCACTAGACCAGTTAGCAGGTTGGTGTCGCTAGATCCCCCTTTGTTGAGATAGTGATTGAAGAGTACAATGTAGTGCCTTTCACAAAGCCCAGGGTTCATCTTACAGGGCTATTCTTTAAAGTTATCCTTCCTGTGTGTGTGTGTGTGTGTGTGTGTGTGTGTGTGTGTGTGTGTGTG